ACTGTAGCCCATATAGACAGCAACGGGACGCCACCCCGCCGGCCGCGGCCGCGGCGATGACGCAGGTGCTGCGGCCCGCGATCACGCGGGTGCAGAAGCTAACTGTGGAGTGCCCGTCGGGCGAGACGCAGCGGCGCGAAGTCGCGAAGACGCGAGCTCAGAGAGGCGACGCGAACCCGGACAAGCAGCCGAAGCCGCAGCCGCAGCCGCAGCGGCAGCCGCAGCCGCGCACCGAGGTGCACGTGCAGGATCAGAGTGCGGGCGGTGCAGAGGACGTTCACCAAGACGTGCCCGAGGTCACCGTCGAGGTCGCCTTTCGTCGAGGACGGTCGCCTACGCGAAAGACAGGCTCACCGAGAACGAAGGAGCCGCTGACTCTTCAGCAGAGAGAGACCGACAAGTACGACAACCCTCGGGCCGATGCGAGCCTCAGACAAGAGGCACGGGCGGAAGCGCCGGCGAAGAACACCCTGACGCCGCACGAGGAACGAGGAAGAGGTCGTTCGCCGAGTCCCATGTGGGTGCCCGGCTCCACGTCTTACGCCGACATCCTTCGCGGATGCCTGCAGACGACGCAGCTGAACGTCGCGAGCGCCGCCGAGCCTCCCAGGCAAGAGATGGTGCCCCTCAACGGGGAGTCACGACGTGGTCGTGGCGAGGTTCCTCGCGCGGAGGAGGTCCCCGTCCCCGAAGCGGACGTCGCCGAGAACGCGATGGAGCCTCAAGGAGTCGGCGAGTCTGCTGAAGCGGCCGCAGCGGCGTCGACGCAGAAGATGGAGAGCGTGCAGATCGCGGAGGCGTATTGCCAAGCAACAGAGATCTCCGCGGAGAAGATCGACGAGCAGGGATACAGCAAGCCTGACAGCTCGGCCGACTGGACCGACAAGGCTCTGGAGGATTACAACGTGCTGCATCAGCATGTGAAAGCTTACGAAGACGTGCCGCGGCAGCCGCCGCAGCCCGTGGAGATCTACGACTACATAATACCGGAGCCGGAACTGGTCGGCTTCATCGGCTCTCAGCTCGGGACGTATTCGGTGAGTTCGTACGTTTACGCGCCGCCCGCCGGCCATCATCATCATCACCATCACCACCATCATCACCACCAGCAGGTGCAGCAACAGCTCGAGCCGATCCACTTGAATCCCTACAACAACGGCTCTCTGGCCTACGCACCCGAGCATTACGTCGCGCAGACCGCGTACCTTTCAGCGACGGAGATTTATCAGCAGACTCAGATGCAGCAGCAGCAGCAGCAGCAGCAGCAGCAGCAGCAGCAGTGCCCTGCTGGTGACATGAGGTGCGCGAGTACGATGATGATGCAAAACGTGGAGAAGCCCGTTCAGATGCAGGTGGCCAGGCAGCCGGAAGTCGCACTCGCGGCGGAAGCTGTCGACAAGTCGGACGAGCAGGAAGAGCCCGCGAGCGTTTCGGACGTAGCGGAAGCTCCCGCGACGAGCAAGTCGGAGGGCAAGGATACGTCGACATCGGTCGTCAACAACGAGACCAAAAGCCAGACTTTCTCGTACGCGCAAATCCTGTCGCAGGGACTGAGTCCGCGTGTCACGCCGACGCGAGTCCTCCGCAAGTCCTCCGTTGCGGAGCATCAGAACAAGGAACGCTCGTACTCGCCCAAGGAGTCGCTACCGTCTCGTGAATTATCGCCGTCACAGGAGAACAAGGTCCCCGGCAGAGATTCGCAACAGCCGCACGCGAAGCTCGAGCAAGCCAGGCAATCCAGGGAGAACGATTGGGACACGATGAAGAAACGGGAGGTGAGGAAAAAGCAACAGTCCGTGAATGACAAGACCAAACAAGCGGACGAGAGAAAGTCGCAGAAATCAGTCGACAAATCGAAGGACAGACAGAAGAAGGAGAAGTCAAGTTCGCCGAAACAAGTCGCAGAAGCTCGCGACGAACCCGTGGCCGAGCGCGCCGTCGACGCTTCGGGCAGGAGGGAGGAAAAACCGGCGGAGAAAACGCAGGATAAGCGAACGATCGACTCGGTGGACACGAGCTCACCGCAGGAGAAGAAGCGCAGGCAGAAGAAGAAGAAGATGGATAAGTCGAGCGGCGACGAAATTGACAAAGCGCTCAGAGAAATCGAGGACATGGATAAGCAGAAGGCAAAGTCTCAGAAGGACAAGCCCAAGGAGCAGGGCAAAGAGCAGAACAAGCCTCGAGAATCCGCCAACGAGACGCCAACGGACAAATCGAAGGACGAGGCCGACAAGAAGCAGAGCAAATCCGGCGAGAAGTCAAAGAAATCCGGAAAATCGAGAGAGCCGGCGAAAGCGAAAGAGAATGTCCCAGTCAAGCAAGACGTAGTGCCCAGTCAGATCAAAGAGACAGATCAGAGTACTCTTAAAGATAACATCAAAGTTAAAGAGAGTATCAACGATACAGCGAGGGATTTGAGCTCCAAAGACGAGAAGGAGGTCCGGAAAGGCGGTGCCAAAGAAGAGCCGAAAGATCAATCTCATATTGCCGGCGATATCTGTCTTAATTCCAGCAAAGCTGACGCTAAAGCCAAGCACAAGGCTAAAACAAACAAGAATACGAAAGAAGGTAGCGACGAAAGTAGGGGAATTCCAGTTCGGCAAGAACCCTCGGGTGCTCTGAGCGATAACGCGAAGGAGAAAATTAACGACGAAAACGTCTTGACGGAGATTACAAAATCGTCGGAGATTCAAAAAGCCGAGTTGAAAGATACGATTGAGAAGTCAAATACGATTAAGGCCGAGAGCACGACGAAACAGAAAGACGCGTCGAAGAAGGAGCAATCGTCGAAGAATAAAACAAAGTCGAGGGGACTGAATGTTGAAGCCGAATGCAATAATAAGAGTGAGGAGAAACTTGGAAACGGTGTTAAAGAGAAAAGTAATTTTCCCGGATTCAATAAACTGTCGACTGGCACTGAAGTTCCGGATAAGCCACAAGCGCTCGACGCAAAAGTCATTGAGGTAAACGGAAATGTGAAAGGCAAAGCGAATTCTCGAAAGAAAGACAAGACCTCTAAAGGTAAAACCAAAATCGAGCCTACGATCGATCTTGCGTCACCGATGATCTCGACGAGCGAAGTTCCGAGCGAAACAAAAGTCTTCGCGTGTTTGGATAACGCGGAGAAACTGATCGTTCCGAAATCGGGGCAGATAATCGAGGAGAGTAAAATTGTAGAAACGCCAGCAACGGCAATCGAGAAGCCCGATGTTGAAGAAGCGCCAAAAGAAATCGTCCTGTCGTCTGAAATAGTTCAGCAAACCGGAGAAACAATACAAACCGATACCACGAATAAAAATGAGAAAATCGATCGCGATAAGATCGAAATTGAGATTCGGGAATCGATCGAGAGCAAAGAACCGGAACGTGGTCAGGCGGATGCTGAATTAAAAACTGTCATTAGTGACACAGGCGTTGAAAAAGTCGAGAAGCGGGAAACGGAGAAACGGCAGATGAAAACGGGCAAACAAAAGAGATCCGATAAAACGAAGTCCGGTACGCAAGATAAAAGTGAAGCAAAGAAAGATGACGCGGAGATCGCTCCGCCAGCCGTCGAGAGCGAAAACAAATCTCTCGGAGAAGAGGATAAATCCAAGATAGAATCTCCATCCAAAAGTCTAATCGAGCCTACAGCGGAGACCTCCGTTGGACTCGCAGAGAAAACAGATTTGGCTGAGGAAGACGGTAGCTGCCTTATTCAATCTAAAATAGATGCCAAAAGCATCGACGATGTTAAAGCGAGCGAGAAAGAAATTACGACGAATGTCGTTCAAGTCAACAACCAACGCGCGCCAGACACCCCGCCGAAGAGTAAGAAGAAAGGTAAGTCGAAGGACAAGTCGAAGGACGCCCAACAGGCGCGCAATGCGAAATCCGGTGAACCTAAATCGAAGGATGAAGTCGCAATAGCGGAATTGAAAACTGCGTCGCCAGTCACACCGATAAAGGCAGATGCGTCTCACGAGACCGCGCAGCTTGTCGAGGTGGTCGTTACACCGGACGAAATCTCAACTTCGATTGCGGGAGCAGATTCGATTGTTTCCACGACGCTTGAAAATGTGATCGGAGTCGTTTCTGTCGCAGAAACATCGCTTGAAGTATCCGAGACTTCTCCAAAGACGGACGACGCTGCTGCGAAAGCGGAAGAGAAATGTGAAATGATTGATAAAGGAAAAGTCGATCGTCCTCTACAGGAAGCGATTGTCCAGGGTGACAAGGAGACCAAGGCCGTCGATACGATCGTCGAAGACGATCTCCCGATCAGAGAATCACAGCGTGCTGGAAAATCGAAGGATCCCGCAAAGAGCAAAGAGAAAACGCCGAAACACGCTAAGCCGAAGAAACTCGAATTCACCGAGCGTGCAATTGAACAGAAGAAGAAACACTCTTCTCGCGAGAAGATGATCGTCTTCAAAGACGATTCAACGAAGGAGGAGGAAATCCCGAGACCCGCAATTGGCACGACAGACCAACGCGATGTTGGGGGAGAGAAATTGGACGAGAGCGAGCCATCAGCTCCGCAAACTGAAAGTGCCACGTTCCAACAGACGCGAGAGCCATCGGGGAAGAACGTAGCAGAGACAGAAGTCGCTCCCGAACTTTCGAGCGGTTCAGTCGATGAGGCTGAAATGTGCGAGAAACACGACGATGACGTGGCGCGTAAAGACGGCAGTCCGCAGCCTTCCTCGACAGGGAAGGCTTTGATCATCGAGAAAATGGTTACTACGGTAACCACCACCACCACCAGCGCGCCGGGATCCGTGACCGTCAAACCGCCGGACGTGAAGTCCGTAAAGTCGGTGGAGATCTTAGAAAACATACCCTTACCCAAAATCGTAGGCTCGAAAGTCACCGAGTTGATCACTTTGCGTCCCGAGACCGTAGAGGCTAGTCTTACCACCACTTACGCTAGGGTACCGAGCGACGTGAGTCCCGTTAATTTCGATTCGCATCCGATGCAAACGGCTAATTCGCAACAAGTAGGTCTAACTTCCCCCGCGGGCATTTTCTCCGAGAGCATCGTAACGTCCGACGAGTTGGCCTTGTTCGGTAGCGTGCAGGATAGGAGGAGAACTCGTGCGGAAATGTCGAAGGGTCGGGACAGCTCGGAGGGCTCACCGGTGACCGCCGTGCTCGAGGAGAGGAAGGAGGAGTCGGTAGTTCGCGTAGACGATAGAACGGACGGTCAGGAGCCGCTGATTTCGTCGAACGAATTCGCGCCACAGAGAGATCAGTCGTCGAAGGTGGAAGTTGCTGGCGAGAAGGCTCATCATACGATGAGCGGAGCGACACCCGATAGCGTTACTTTACGGAACGACAATATCGCGGAGACTCGGAGCATCGACAATCCCACGGAGGAGAGTAACGTCGCGTTAAGCGACGACAGAGTTAACGAGAGCATGTCGAAAGTCCCGATCTCGAAGAGGCAGGAACGGGCAGTGATGGATGAGCAGAAGATCAACGTTGAAGTGACAGTTGAGTGCAGCCAGGACAAAACAACGGGAAAGGTGGAAGTGCCGACTGAAGCGAAATGTGAAGTGAAACGAGAGGACGCACTCGAAATGGCGAAGGCAGGGCAGCAGAAGCTGCCTGGGTACTTGCTGGATCTCGTTAAGCCCTACGCCGTGGACCGTCACGCTTACAACCAAGCGGAGAGTAACTTTTATCGTTACTTCAAAGTTGTCAAGACGATCAAAGAGCCGCAGTCGCCCGCGCGCCCTGTCGTGCAGGCGAGACCGGAGAGCATAGCGAGAATTGTGCAAGAATCGGTGATGAAACCCGTCGAGCAACCGAGCCAAGAAGAGTCCGACGTTAGGAAGCATACTCTTATCATGGAGGCGCCGAGGTATCCCCTCGCCAGTTTTTACGAGTTCGAGTCGCACTGGGTGCGGGCTAAATCCGTCGCTGGAAAGTCTTCATCCGTCTCATCCGATGATACCGAGATGTCAGAAGACTCGTTGATGGAAGAGACACCGCAAATCGTTGAAGAGAAGGAAACGGCGAATGCAGCGCTCGACCTTGAGGAAAGTTCAACTCTGATCAATGTGGAGGAACTTACAGTTCAGACAGAGGCGAGTGAAAATTCAGAGATGTCCACGCCTCAGGCTGCAACCATCGCAGAGGCACCGTTACCGGACGAGGCATTGGATTCAGTGATTAGCGAAGATAAAGATAAGAAGCTGACGGACGTAAGGCAGTCCGTACATTTGCTTTCCGACGATTCCTGGATGAGTATGCTGGACGAACCAATGGTCATCGACGACGATTTCGACGACATGCCTGAGCCGGGAAAAGTGACGAAGGTGGAAGCAACGAGTGAAATGTTGACGGATGTTTGCATCAACAAACAAGATGAGAAGGACGAAGAGGCGATAAAAGAAAGACAATCGCTCGGAGATATCTCCGATGTTGATGAGGAAGTTGCGCCCCGTGCCAAGTTAGTTGAAGATGCAGTATCACTTGGCACGACCGCTGACAATGCATCACCCGCAGAAACAGATTCAATTGCTGAAAAAATCGACGAAACTTCAGAAGTAAACGTGTGTGTTAAATCGCCCGAAGAAGAAATTAGCGACGTTCAGTTGACAGTTGCTGATGTAAGGGCAGACGCGAACGTTGTTGCGGAAGATGACAAAGATGAAATCGGGAAGGAGAAGCCGGAAGCTAAAGCAGCGGCAACTGTGGGCCCATTCATACATTTGGAGTCTGACGATTCTTGGATGGCTCTCTTGGAGGAAGAGATAACAATCGATGACGACTTCGACACGCTGGAAGTGAAGGAGGTGGACAAAATGGCAGAGAAAGAAGACAAAGAGACTGGAAATGTGAGAAAGATCGAACAGCAGGCGGAAGAGATCGGAAAAGAAGAGGCGAAGATCGAAGTTCTGAGTAAAGCGATCCTAACGGAAATCGCCGTGAAGGATGAGTATCTTGCCGGCATAAAAGATATTCAAAGCGAGATATCCGTGGACACCGAGAAACATATCGACAGAGCGAGAAATCAGCCGAAGAAGAAGAAGGAACCGAAGCATGCGAAAGAGGCGAAAGCTAAAGATCAGGCTAAGCCTGGATCCAAGAAGCAGAATGAGGCAAAAACTCAAGCAGCCGCTGTCGAGAGCGACTCACCGCCGGCGCCATATAACTTGGACGAAGTCGAGGTAAAAGCGACAGATATCGAGACGAAGGAAGTGGAGAAGCCGTTGGCAGTGAGCGGCCAGCAGAGCGAGGAATTGAAACCTCCTTCGGAGGGGAGCGCATCGAGACAAAAGGAGCCGATTACGGTTGAAGAGATTCACTCAGAGAGACCATCGTCGAAACGTGAGGAGGCCAAGTCGAAATCTGGCAAGAGAGGCAAAAAGCAATGCGAGAAGTCCGAAGCCATCCAAGAAAAATTAGCCAAACGCGACGGTAGAATGAACGACAATGCTTCTCCGAAAGTCAAAGAGACGGAGTCAAGTGCGCCCGAGGTGTCGCCGGTCGTGCAGAAGCAACTGGACTCAAAGGATGACGCGCCCAAGTACGACAGTCGACTGAATCCCAATGCCAAATCGTGGGCGGCCGTGGTTGGCGCGAGTGGTGTCGGCGAAACGATCGCAGTTCCCGAAGACGATTCCTCGAGTGCTCAAACGTCCGTTGCCGCCGGTCAAGATACAACTGACCCGAGTGATACAAGTGCCCCAAGACTCGCCGAGCAGCCTGGACTAACCGCGCACGACTCGTGCGAAATTTCATCGGAGCCCGAAACATGCGCGACTCCGGCGGAAAAACACACCGACGGACGAAACATCGTCGAAGAATCGAAAGTGGTAGCGGCGGAGGAACTTGCCAAGCCGGTCGCGGAAAAGTCCGCTGAATCGCCGGAGCAGCTTAGAGAAGGAGGCAAGTCTTACGCGCAGGTCGCAGCCTCTTCCCGACGGGCTTCTCCGCAAGTTTCTCAAGAGCCTGAAGTACATCTGATTAAACCCGTTCCGCTAAAGCCCGATCATAAGGTGCTCGATGTGACAGTCCCTGTTCTCGACGAAGTGTGCAGATGTGAAAGTGCAGATGTGGAGATGTCGCAAAGTCCCTCGAAGCTGGAGATTATACCGAGGTTCGACGAGGTGACGGTGCAGCAAACTGCTGATCGCGAGACGACCATCGCGGAATTCACTCCCCAAAGCGAATCGGTTCCTTGGGTGGAGGAGATGGAGGACGAGGTATCGATCGTTTCCCCTGACTCGCAATCCGCTGTAGACTCGAGAGACGCTGAAGTTTCCGGCTCCAAGCCGGAGACAAGTACGTGGGCCGCGATAGTTGGTAAAAAGTCCGTGGAATCGCCTGTGGAAGTTAACAACGCTGCCAATCTCGGCCAAGTCTGCAAACCGGACCAGACTGCCGAACTGCGACCTCCGACGCATGTGCAGATTTACGTGGAAGAAGCTCCCCAACAGGAGCTCCCCATCGAGAAGTTGGTTCGAATAGACGAGCAAGATTTCATAGAATTCGTTAATCGGAAGGAACTGCGCTCCAGACGTTCCAGGTCGCATTCGCGAAACGACCGACGAGACGACGGGCATGCAGTTGTAGAAAGCTCAGATTCGATTAAGGATAAGGAGACCAAAGCTTCAGATGCTCAAAGCGGCGAGGATATTACAGCCAAGGGTGAGGGGGTCGAGGAGGAGAAGCCTGCACGGGGACAGGAGGATGAACAGAAGCAAGTGGACGAGCCGATGAAAATCGTTAAGCAGGCTGTTAGAGAAATCGCCAAGCCGACCAAGAGCAGAGATAAGGCGAAGCAGAAGAAAGACTCGGCCGAGCGCAAGAAGGACGAACGTAAAAGGGACAAGAGGCAGCCCGCGGAAACTAGCGAGGTACCGAGTGACGAGAGTAAAGTTGCTCAAGAAACGAAATCAGAACAAGATGAGACACCTAAAGGCAAGAAGGCTAAATCCAAGAAGAGCAAGTCCGGCAAGGATTCGATGAAACAACAATCTGAAATTAAGGCGCAGAGGGAATCAAAGAATGTTGAGGAGACGGTAAAAGAGGAGGACACGAAACCTGCCGGTGAAACCGAAACGTCCGCAGAAATTCAATCGGAGAACATCGTGGCTGAAAGTCAGGAGCTTAAAACTGTCGAGGATCCATCAATTGAAGAAGCGCGATTAATTACAAGTACTGCGATTGCGCAAGAGATTAAGAACAAAGACGCAGATGCATTTCCAATTACGGAGAAGAGCAGTACCGCGAAATCGAAGAAGAAGTCGAAGAAAAAGGGTAAAGTGACGCCCGAGCAAACGATTGAGAATGCGTTTGCCACGGGAAAGAAGACGGTAGATGAAAATTTGGAGAAGAAAATCGAATCACCGGTGGAGCCAAAACTAGACGAAGTAAAAGTGAAAGAAGAGGTTACCATGGACGTGGTGTGCGGCACACCTACGAGTCCAGAAAATGAAGGGGTTTTAGCAGAGAAGAAACAAGAAAATATCGAGGAGCAAATTATCGAAAAGTTTGTAGAACAGGAAAGCATTGAACAAAAGACGACGGTAGACATACCTGAAAATACAGAGGAACATAAAGAATCGCGCTTGGGAACTGTAGAAGAAAGCGTGGCGGAGCAAAAAGAAATGCCCAAACTCACGAAAGCAGAGAAACGGAAGCAGAAGAAGAGAGCGAAAGCTTCATCGCGAAACGAGACAACCGAGAAGAAAGAAATCGAACCTGCCGAAGAGGACTTTGCTCCAAGTAAATCTGTCGATTCGTCTAGCGAGACAAACATTGCTGAGCGAGTTAAAGGCGAGGAGATAATCAAGTTAACAGATGGAACCGCAAATACCGCGTCAACGGAAGCTAAAGTGGACGTTACGTCAGAATTAAAGAAAGACGAAGAGATGACAGCTGCATTGCAGGCTGTGCAAACGGAGGAATCGGAGAAATCTACGGAGAAACCAGAAGTTATGGGCGAAAATGAAACGTCGCTTCCGCAAGTAACTCCGATAGCCGAGAAACCAAAGCAAAAGGGCAAATCCAAGTCGAAGAAAGGAAAACGACACGAACAGGACGATAAAACAGCCAAGTCGAATCAAGATTTCACGAGTACACTCACGACGGATTATTATAAGGAGACCGAATCCTTGCCCGTTGCGGAACACGCTGAGATTTCAAGCTTCTCTAAAATCGCGGTGACACCCGACAGTCAGCAGAACGAAAGAGTAAACGTTGGAGATGAAAAATCAGACATCGAGCCGAGCGAGATGTCGCAACCTCCGGAGACCAAAATCGACACAAACGATTCGCCCGCGATAGTAACGAGCCACGAAGACATGAAAGAACCAGAACCTCTGGCACCTCCCACAGAGAAAGAAACAAACGTGGAATCGGTGACGATGAACGTTGAAGAAACCGTATCTGCGGGTGAAGACAAAGTGGACAAAGCGGAGAATCTCAGTCCAAAGGACGAAGTTTCCACACAGGCAGAGTCCTCGAGTGACCCGGCTGTCACTGTCATAAAGCATTCTCCACCGATAGACAAACTATCCTCCATCGCACAGCGGTCCTTCGACAACGAAGAGAAGCGCGTCGCTGCGAGTCTTGAGCAAGAAGGTCCAGACTCCGACCTCCCGAGTGCATCTCCCAAGTCCAAAGTGCAGTTCTACATAGCGGACGAGATCTTGATCCTGAAACCCGAGAAACGCAAGGACACCGTCGCGCCGGTGGAGTCCCTCCTGCAGAAACGACCCGACGACTTTTGCAGCTCGCGGTTCCTCTCCATCGACGGTGGCTTCTGGCCCGACAAACGACCCTATCACGAAGCCGAGCGCGATCACTTCGAGAACTTAGCTCTGCACACGAAAAAGAATCTGTCGCGCGACTCCGACGACCGTCATCGTCCGCGAGACCGCGACGGCGATCGCGACAATTCGGACGGCGGCGGCGGCGGCGGCGGTGGCGGTAGATCGCGGGATTCCTGCGACAATTCGCGCTCCCTCCTGGGCGCGCCCCAGACGGAGCGTATGGTGGCCGACTTGCCGGGTGGTATTTGTAGCTGGAGCGATTATAGCACTTACCTGTCGAGCGAGAGCGAGCGGACGGTGGATCCGGACGGGCCGGCGCTCGAGGATCCAACGCTCGACTCGGGTCTATCCTTGGATTACTCGTCGCCGAGCGACCTTCAGTCACCTCGTGACCTCCTCCCGCCCCTCCTAGCTTCCTCCTCCAGCCACGACCAGCCGCAGACCGAGTCGCGCACGGAGTCACCCGTAGACGCTGAAGTAAGCCCGAGGGAATGTCCTGCGGTCTCTTCTTCGAGTACCCTCCGAAGTCCCGATCATCCTAGCACTCGCACCTGGTCGTCGACCTACGCCCATCTTCGTCCACAATCCAAACTGCATTTAGGTAGAGATACGAGCGAGGAATCCATGCTATGGTGCAGCCCGAACGGGGTGGCGGAAAGAGAGACGGCCGAAGGCGAGGCTGAAAGAAGGATACGCAGGATCCAGGTGCGACCAACGTCATTGCCAGTGCTCGGTCTTGTTCTAGTCGAGTTTGATCAAGCCCACCGCCATATGTGTATATACATGTATATGTATATATACTTGTTGTTACTTAGTTGTATCTGGATTGGTTTACCTCTGGTTGTTTTTTTATCTCTCTCTCTCTCTCTCTCTCTCTCTCTCTCTCTCTCTCTCTCTCTCTTTCTCTCTCTTTCTTTTTCTCTCTTTCTTTTTCTCTCTTTCTCTCTCTCTCTGTCTCCTGTTTTGTTTTCTTTGTAACGTCCCTTTTTTCGTTTCCCCTCTTTCGATACTTGAGTATCTCGAGTGTGTGCGATTTACTTATACTGTAACTTGTCGATTACCGGTGTGCGTACATATGTTACTGCTCTGTTGCCCCCCTCCCGCTGTTGCTACCACCGAGTTCACTACCTGAAGCCTCCCTCTATCTAAGCCTTGATAACAGTCGTCGTAACGGCGTTGATCCCGCTGTCTCTCGATGACGGGTCGCAGATTTAATTAGCGTAGCGAATCGATGACAACCTTGCCGTTCGCATGACATGGCGGTCGCCTCTCTCTCTCTCTCTCTCTCTGTTGAAGTATCGCCCGCATTACTTGCATGCTCATCCCGCTTCCAAGTATGCGCTCTCGTGTGACGAAACATCCAGTAAGCCGTGAGGAGCCGTCTGTGTTGTATCGCCGTTTTACTGGACACCCCGTCCCAAGAGCTCTCTACAAGCAAGAGCCTCTACATTGCGCATACTCTAAGTCATTTACGTTTACGCTGTCGTGATGCATGTAGCTTCTAGTTCACACTTCGGGATCGGTAGTCGTGTCAGCGTAATGACTTGTAGAGAACGATAATGCGTCCATCGGTAGTTGAGACGCAGGGGATGAAAGTTAATAAGCGCAACGCAGCTCCCGACGTCCTCGTTCTGCTGGCAACTTTACGTGACAGGTCTTTGCATTCGGATTAGTTAGCGAGGTATCCCAGAACTCGTCGAGAGAGTTTGCATGAAGGTTGCTCTCCTGCATTAATCACTTGCGCTGGCAAGCAACCGGCGCGGCGGCCGCGGCCGAAGTCGTCCGTCAAATTTCTCGCGCCGGGTGAAATTTCGAGGGGAAGGCAAAAGCTGCATTGCACGCGACGAATGACACGCGAAGAGAGAGAGCACGCGTGGGATCTCGTCCGAGCGCAAGTGATTACGAGTCACTGTTCCATGTGTAGCAACGAGTGTTCGTAGTACAAACTCCCGTAACAGACGTCGAGCAAGCTCACGCGACATCGTCGCCGAACGTCCTCGGCCGAGACGTGTTTCGCAGTGTGTGCTGCCTCGCAAGCCCCCCCGAATCATGCGAACACTTCATCCCGCAGGTGTGAAGGCCCAAGAGTGTTCGATGCTAAGAACGCAGCGTTAAAACGCAGCGTGGACGTTGAATGGTCGTCCCGTCGTGTGCATGGCTGAGATAACAACGAGTCAGGTGCTCGACGTCGCAGTCGCTAACGGCCGCTTGTGTTTCAGGCCACCGTCGAGGAAGGTCTCGCTTCTCTGCAAGCGAGACTCTCGAATGTCGAGGGAACGATGGGTTGCTTGCCTCAGGATAGCGTAGATGCTATGCTGTTGTCTCTTATGGTAAGTGGCTCGCTTGGAAAAAGTTAGAAAGTAGGAATATAAGAGAGTGGAGAGTATCGAAATGTTTCTACGTCAGTCATACATGTCGATCATCATTCATCTTAGCGTCGTACAGAGAGAAGCGTGTCAAAGAAGCCGATCGATCTGTCGCAGAAAAAATCGAGTGTCTTCTTTTTATCTGCTTTAGGCTATACTGACGGAGCTCAACACCTACGACGAGGAAGCGACTCAGCTTCAAGGGCGATTACGCGAGATTCCTGCTGACGTCGAGTCTCAAAGGCTGTCGTCGGCTTTGACGGGGATTCACACGCGAGTTAACGCCCTGCTCGATCAAGCGGAACAGGGGAGAGCGGCTCTCGAGCAGGCGCGAGAAGGCCGGGAGAGACACGACCAGGAGGTGCAAACCTACAGATTGTTCCTCGACGAGACGGACGCTTGGCTGAAGAGCGTCGCGTCGACGATGCACGAGCAACACTCGTTCAACACCAACCAGGTCCGTTGGATCGCGTCTACACTCGTTGGTGTAACTGATCATGTTCACTTCGGCCACGAGAATACCAGTGGACTCTCGCGAAAAAGAAACAAACAATTCTGTTGGAGTAACTAAATGTCTCATCGGCCTGGGAGCAGATAAAAAGTCGAATGCTGGAGTAGGAAAATTTCGACGGGAGGTTTTTGCTCGGTCAGATGTTCCCAGTTATTTCAAGCGAGCCGTTTTATTAATGCAGCCGAGTGCTCAGACAAACATTTCAGACGATCGTAGATCGAGAAGAAATGGACAGATATTGTTTCTCATCGCCGTATTTTCCGAACCGAGATTTTTTCCTATATCGAGAACGTGAACACGTAACACCATAGAGACTTGACTAAGAGATGATGACATAATACACCGCTCAACCTCACACGCGAAGTAATACCAATCTCCTCTCGCTTGCCGCAACGGGCAGGCTTTGCAGGATGAATTGACGAGCCGCGCGCGTCGAGTGTCAGAGCTCGAGTCGTTGGCGGAGGTAAGCGGACTGGCGACGACGCTGAAGGAAGCCCTCTTGGATGTGCTTGGTCGTCTCCAGCAAAAGCAGCAGGTACCCTACGCTTACCAGGGCTCGGGAGCTTTCGCAAACTTCACTCTTCTTCGTGCCTCGGTCGCTTTAAAATAATATTACAGAGGGTACAAAGGGATGCGAGAAAATTGATCCTCGCTTGTCGAAACTTGCCGAAGCTTCGCGCCGTAAAGAGAGAAAACTAGAAAAGAGGCTTGCCAGTTGCCGTTATTACAAAGCTAGGGGCTTCATAGAGGCGAATTAAATGCCGCATAGACAGATAGATTAAATCACAGATCGCTAAAATTGATGATGGTCGCGCACCGAAAAATCGACAGCTGCCAGACGCGCTGCGAGCGCGCCGAGCAATTTTATGTATCTTTCACTCGAGCGCGTAAGTCGTTATTTCGCATCATATTCCCGGCATGCTCGTGTGCCGGAAACGATCCTCGCGGTCGTGTGAATTAATTAGGGACGACACCGAGCGCTTTGTAATGGGCGGCAAGTGAGTTCACGCAATTGCCCGCGATACATCACAGCGGTCATCTTTGCTCGTCGAGCTTAAACAGTTTCTTTTGCACGCTTGCGGACATGGATAGTTTAACTGGTAGAGCAAGCATTTTATTCTGGGTATATATTCTTTCTTTTTCGCTTCTCTCTTTTTTCATCATCGTCGCTGCAAGACATATATATATATATATATATATATATGCGCTTTTCGTTATCACGCACTTCGTCATTTCATCATTATAGATATCACGCACCGTACATTACTTCTTAGTTCACTGTACATTATTATTTGTATCATGACTGTTATGTATTTTCGTTTACCTTAAGGTGATGGATGTAATATAGGCACTGCATGTATAATTAAGGAATGTTAATACACACATTGCTGTAATACATCATATATATATATACATACATATATATATATATAAATAATTAAAGGGTTCTTACATTAATATCCCGCCCTTTTACTCCCCTGTCTTGTTAATCGTTATATTTATATGTATCGTATATTATCGTAGTCAATAATAAATAATCATACCGGCGTAAATAATAATATCTGCAAGTCCGTGAATATCCCATGACTCACTTTGACATTATAGTTTTGTAACGTAACAACATCGAATGCAGTTCTCCGCAAGAATTCCACCGAGAGGTGTTCGTATCAAGAGAGAGGATCATTTATTGTAATATATACATTTTATTATTTATTATTTTATTACTTATCACTATATATATCACGTTTACTAAAAAATTATAAAACAATCGTGAGCGACCCGCGTAATCAACGAAAGAGTTCAAACTGACAAACTCCGCTTTCTTTCTCTCTCTCTCTCTCTCTCTCTGTCTCTCTCTCTCTCTCTCTTTCTCTTTCTCTGTTCTAACTTCCGTTCTGGTTTATTTAATAAATTAAAGGAAACTACATCGCGAAACTAGTGTCACATTGATCGCTCATAAACGACGAGTAGTCGATAATATATCTCATTCAGAACGTAGAGCATCATCCTTAATAATGACACGAACCGCTTGAATGTCGCGAGTCATATCTCGAGAAGATGTTCTCAAGGCGATTGTTATCCTCGTAGGAGATTTACGACGAAGAGGCTCAGGCCGACGACGAGTCGACGGAAAGAGACAATGCTACTCTAGACGAAGCGCCCTCAATTCACTCTTCCTTGGAAGCCGGTCCGCCGTCCTTGGCTGACGTCTCCCTGCAGACAGGTCAAAGTTTACTGCTCGACGACGTAGTCGAGAAAAAGACGCAGCTCACGAAGCAGACGTCCACGACGCAGATGCCGTCGACGACCACGTGTCACTCGTTGACGACGCAGACCACGCAAGCCCTGCTGCCGAGCGAGAGCGCTCAGACGCAGGAGGCCATAAAAGTCCTGAAAACGACCACGGGCGATCACGACGTGATCGAGATAGCGACCAAGTACGTGCCGCCGAGTTTCGCCCAGGAGGTGAGGACGCAGCGGGAGCAGTCGAGCGTTCTACCCGACGAAGACATCGTCGTCGACATGAAGTACCAGGACGCGAAGAAGGCCAACAGCGCGACGAGCGAGCTGAACATCGTCCACGCTGCGCCGCAGTCCTTCGAGACAGTGTTAGTCGAGCCGGACGACGTCACCACCGAGGTGGTCGTCGACGCTGACGGCACCAAGAGGATCATCGTGAGGAAACTGCGACGCACCACAGTCACCAGCAGGCAGACTACTCAGCAACGCGTGTCCACGCTGTCGACGGCGCTCGGAGACGCGCCGCCGATGATGCAGGCTTTCTCAGAGGCCGCGATGAGGGACCAGCAGGTCACCGTGACCAGGACCAGACCGGACGGCACCATCGAGACCACGACGAGGCAGATTTACGGCGGTAGGGTTACCACGGCGGCGCCTACCGAAGGCATCAACGTGGAGGAGTACGAATCCGAGCCTCATTACACGCGCATGGTGACGCAAGGTCAGATCGGAGACATCAGCTGTCAGCCGGTGGAAGAGGAGATACTGATGGAGGGCGGTGAGTACCAGACGAGCACGTCGAGCGTCCACGCCGTGGTGCAACAGGTCACCAGGCGGGTCATCAAGAGGACGCGCAGGATCATTCGCAAGGTCACCATAATAGACGGCAAAGAGACCACTACGGAGGAAGTGATCGAAGAACCTGAAGAGGTGGAGATCGACGAGCAGGACATACCTCACATCAGCATCAACGTGGTTAAGAGCGAAGATCAGAAGACTATAGATCCGGGGGAGAGATTGATCGAGGGTACAACGAAGCAACATGAAACAACAAGACCGATGGAACCCTGCACTCCCGGTAGTCCGATGCAGGGACCGTTCTTCGGGCCGTTCGCCAAGGACATGGTGACCACGCCTCGAGAAGAAACCGAGGAGCCGGCGACGGAAACGTCGACGACGGTCGCGGCGAAAGACGACGACGTCGTCGCGGCAGTTGAAACTTCGAGTGTCGAGGTACGAAGGAAGAAAAGCGTAGAGCAGCAAGAACCTACGGCGGAATTAACGGACTCGACGGCGGAGGCAGCAGATTCCAAGATAGAGGTACCGGAATCTGCGAGAAGCCCGACAGAAGAAGCGCTTCCATCGCCGAGAGGAATAGACGATAAGAGTGTAGCATCGGAAGAAACGAAACGACCGACGGACAAGCAGGAATTCGATCATTTCCTTAGCGAGGTAAACGGCTTAGGTAGAGTCACGGCGGTCGACAGCCAGGCGCTGATCGATGCTGAGCGGTCTGGCGTTTTGCAGACTCCTGCCGAGGACGTCTCAGTTAGCGCGACACATGCGGAATCTATAAAATCCCCATTAGAGCCGGCGGTGACAGATGATGACGAACCGGTGGTCACCAAGGCTACTTGTAAGTCTGACGATGCACCAGTAAAGAGCGAAACACCCAGTATCGAGCTAGAGAATGGCACGGTAGAAGTAGAAACGCACCACGACGGTAGCAGCACCATAGAGGCTGGTAAAGATGTCGATGTATTGACTGTCGTTGTATTAGAGGAAAAGATTGAGCGAAAGGACCAGCCGGGAATATCAGAGAAAGAGGTACCGATCGAACCATCCGCAAGCAAAGAGGAAGATGACGACATGATGGTGGTGGCGTCGTCTCCAAAGTCGGAGCCACGAACCGATGACGAACCGATCGTGCCGCCAAGTGAATCAGACACCGTGAAACCCGATGAATCCGTAGAAAGAATTATCTCAACATCAAGAGACACGGTGACACTTGCCAAAGAACCGGAGATCCCGTCGGGCTTGTTCGTGGAAGAGGAGGAGGAGGAGGAGGAGGAGGAGGAGGACGATTCCAAGGACGAAGCGTTCAAACCGGAGTACAAACCGGTGTTCCACAAGGTTGAGATATCTCTATCCGTGCGCAAGGACGACGAACAGGCGGAACCTTTGGTGTCCATCAAGACTCGAGCAGAACGACCCGAGCTCGCTCCATACCGCATCGTCAAGGAAGACGTAGACATCAGTCTTCCGGCGGACAAGAAAAAGACGGAGGTGATTTACGATAAAATCGTGCAGACCAGCGCTTTTCTCACCGCTGAAAAGGAAACGGAGACCTTGCAACAACAGATACCTACGGCTGAGAAGGAAACAGAGACCTTGCAGCAGCAAGTATCTACGGCTGAGAAGGAGATCGACGTTCGCGTCGAGTCGTCGGAGAAGAGCAAGTCGGACACCACCAGTCACAAGAGCAGGAAAAAGAAACGGCACAAGACCAAGCCGGCAGCCACGGAGAAGCTCACGGAAACGGAATCCAGCCAGTCGATCGCTACGTCGGTCGCCGAGTCTATGGAGATCAACATCCCGTCGTCGGACTCGTCCAAGCATGCCAGCGAGCAACCGCAGCCGGACGTCGCCGAGATCATCAAGTCCATCACCGAATCGTCCTTGAGCTTAGACGATCATGCCATGCCGGAGGACAACGGCTACCAAGCGGACGACAAAACCATGGATGAATTGTCCGTTGCGCTGGAAGACGAGGACGGAGCGAAGAAGAAGAGGAAGAGGAAGAAGAAACAGAAGCAGAAGGTACGATTAACTCGAGACGAAGAGTCGACTCAGGTGCCCAAGTCCAGCAGCGACGACGCTGCGTTCACGGACGATAGTCTTCCTCTGGAGGTTCCCAAGTTGGAAGAGATGACCGAGGAGAAAAAGCCGCAGGAGGACCATGTGATAAAAGTGATAAAAGAAGATGTGATCGAAACTTTGGAAGAGCACACGGCGAGAGAAGAAGGCGCAACGGAAGGAGAAGAAGACAAAGCAGAAGACGGAGCTGAAGAAGTCGAGACGATGCCGCAGAAAGAGGCTATTATAGCGCACAAAGTTGCACTGGACGACGCGAATACTCAAACCACAGTGGAGACGTGCGACGCATCGACCGCGCTCACCCCGAAGGTAGACGAAGAGAGCATCTCTACGTTCGCGCAAACGTCTCCCGAGCCGGTACCGCTGACACTCGAAGAGGAGGTTCAAACAGCCAAGACCGAGGAGACTCACGTCGAGACGCAGACGATATTAGAACCCGGCCTCGACTTTAGCGCGCAGATGGCCGAGGAGACGCCGGAAGTTGAAGATTCCGGCGTGCAGACTGCGACACCTACAGCGACGCTGATGGAGGAGCTCGCGGTGCAAACCAGCCCGATAGAAGACAGTTCGCCTGCCGCTGTCGTAAGAACAGAGAAGGAAGATTCCCAAGCGCAAACGGTACAGATCGACATCCTCTCCACGGAAATGCAGACCTCGCCCGTTGAGGTAGCCCCCATGATAGCGACCGAGACCCAAACGGCGATAAACACCATGATGGAGGTGGAACAACAGACCACCCCGTCACCGGTGGAGGAGAAGATCGCGCTGCTGGAAACCGCCATTCAAACGTCGTCTCCGGAAGTGCCGGAGTCCCTGGAGAAGCACATGCAGACGAGCGCCCCGTCGAGTCCGGAGCTGCCGGACGTCTCGCACATGGATACTCAGACGGTCGCAGCTCCAGAAGCAGCGCCAGCCGAGACGACGGAAACCCAGACGACGCCCGAGGTGAGCCCTCGGCAGGTGGAGCTGCAGGAGACCGAAATGCAAACGAAATCACCGGAACCGACTATGGAGACGACGATGCAGACGAGCCCGGTGAGTGTCAGCCCGGAACCTACGCGAGTAGTAGTGTGCGAGGAGTCCTCGATGCAAACCAGCATCGAGGAGGCGAGGCAGACTACAGAGGAGGAGTCGCAGACCAGCTCGCCGGAGAAGACTCAGACCCACGACAGTTCGGTGCAGATTAAAACGATGGAGCTGATACCGCATGTTGAAGAGAGCGTGCAGAATATCCCCGAGACGTGCGAGATCAGCGCGCAGACGTCGCCGAAGGAAGAGAAACCAGCGGCGGAGACTGCGTCGGTGTCTCAGCAGACCGCACAGATTACCACGCATACCGTCGAGGTGTCTACCGAGGATCTGAAGGCAGAGACAGGCGAAGCAGCGGATGCCCAGGAAGTGGCCGTTGCGATGGAGCCGATTATCTCGGAGGTGGAAGAGGAGCAGGAGGAGGAAGTGCCGCCGTCTGCGGAATTATTAGAAACTCCAGCAGCACCTGATGTACAAGTACCAGAAAACGCGAGGTCCCTCGAGGAGGTGAAGGAGACAGAGGTTGCGGCTGATGAGCCGGAACCGGTCCAGCCGGTAGACGTTGTTCCCACGAGCGTTCCGGAAAGCACCGTAGAAACAGAAGCGCCCATCGAGAGAGAGACGAGAGATCGACTTGCTGAGTTACCCGCAGCGAGGGAGAGTCCAAGGCCATTGGAGACTGATGCGAGGGCGAAGGGATCTACGACGCCTTCGACCTCGGAGAAGGACACTACTCCAGACACTTCGTTCGAGATCCACGTTCAGGCAACCATAGAGCTGTCCGCCAGCGACACGCTCGACAGCGTAGCGTCTGGCAGCAAAGAGTCATCTGACACTTCCCGGGAGACCACGGTGACCGAAGATTTCAGTAATGACGCAGCTGCAGCTGCTGCTGCTGCTGCTGAGCAAGACAGCAAGGCAGCGAAGCGTCAAAGAAGGAAGAGAAAGCACAAGACCATGGAGATCAGTCTACCGAGCAAGTCCGAGCTCGAGTCCATATTCGGGCAACCGCAAATCGAGTCGCAAGATATTGCCTTGAAGCTCTCCTACAGTGACGTCGCCAAGAAGAACACCGGCAGGCAAAGGTCCCCGGTAGGAGACGTCTTGGACGACATTCTAGATGACGTGGTATCCGAACACGTCCCTCAGACGATACCTCAGTACCCTGAGCCAGACTTGAAGTCGGAGGGTACCGCGTTGAGAACTGTGATAGAGAGCGCGAAGTACGCGGATGAGAAGGGCATTCAAGGTGTAGCAGATGTCTCAACTACCTCGAAAACAGTACCTACATCGACGATCGATCGATTCGCGATCGACTCGAGTCGCAACATTCCAGAAGCAACAGCAGTACCTGAAGTGCGAATGCCTTTCATACTCGGCAAACTGACGATGGAGCCGCTGCTGATGCCGTTGGAGCAACAGAAGTTGTCCGAGCAATCGGCGGCACTCGCGCAATCGTCGCCCGAGCCAATGGACACCACCGAGGAACCGTTGACGCCCGTGGAAGTGGAGCAACCTATCCTGAGTAAGGACCAACGGACAGAGATCAAGACCTATGCTAAAGTGATATCCGAGTCGCACAAGAAATCCGCGCCACCGGCCTCGACTGGCGCCGGAAAATACGACGAGAAGGAGCCGCAGCTGTGGAAAGAACCCGCCACCTTACCGTCGCCTCACACCTTGTCCGCGACCTTCCTCCTGAAGGAATCCCTGGAATACGGCGTGAAGCCGCAGCACCAGGCTGCGCAAACGATGCAGGCCACCAGACTGATCAGCGATCGGGTGAAGAGTCTGCAGAATACCAACGAGTCCAGTCACCTGGGCAATATCCTGCACATCGCGCACCTGGAAGAGGTCACTACGGACAGGCTCGCGGAGGAACGCTCGTCGGACGTCCGCAGGGAACTGGCGCAACTGAGGAACGCCGTTCAGGAGAACGACGTGGTGGTGGTCGAGGAAACGCTCGTCACCGTCGTCGAGACCATCTCGACCTGGCTGGAGACCATCGAGTACCGCATCTTCTTGAACAGAAAGTGCCCGGCCGGGCCTTCGCACGAGGATGCCAAGACATTCGTCGAGCTGAAGGATGAGGTGAATCACGTGGAGGAGAGTATCCGTGAGCTCGACGACATCTGGAAACAAGTGGAGCCGGCCTATCCGGAGGAAGAGCGGGAGAGACTGCAGGAATGCGTGGATGCTCTCGAGCATCAGGTGAAGATCATCGAGCATGTCACCGCCGACGGGGAGAAGTACGCGAGCAGCCAATTCGCGAGGTGGGACGAATTCTTGAACGGTGTGAACAACGTGTACAGGTGAGCTATCATCATGCGGAAGTAAACAATATATTCGACGTGACTAAGTATTAAAATCATTTTGCTCTCTTTCTTTCTCTACACGCAAAGAGAGAGAGAGAGAGAGGGGGGGGGAGAGAGAGAGAGAGAGAGAGAGACTGAGAGGTATATCTGATTCCTTTGATTTAATATTTTCAATGTATTTTATTTTTCAATCCCTTTTTATATCACAGATTGGTCGAAGAACAACGGACGCTGCTCGACCACATAATCGAGAGCGAATGTTCCACGCAGTGGAAGCTGCGGGAGCTCGACAAGTTGGAGAACACGAATCGCTGTCACATGTGGCAGACGAGCAAGCTACTGGGCGCCGCTCGTGAATTGCTTCGGGATCATCCCGGCAAGATCATACCCGAGGAAACGTACGCCGTGCACGAAATGACAAAGATCATCGAGCACGGTGTGTGCGTCGAACGGGAGCGTCTTCTCCAGCTGCTCGCCTTAGCCGAGGAGTACGAGCAGACGCTTCAGGAATTCGCGCAGATCACCGAGATCGCGGAGAACCTGCTGGACAGCCCGATCTCTGTGGTGAGTCTGGAGCACCTTCAGGAGGAGATGCAGAAGCACAGGAAGTTCTTCGTCAACCTGAATCACTGTCGCGCGATCCTCGAGTCGCTGGAGGGCAATCTGGACCCGGAAACGAGAGCCAAGCACTCCAGTCTGCACGAGGAGCTGCACGGCAGAGCGACGGCATTGCTCGATCAGGCGGCTTCAAGGGCGCAACAAATGGCGTTGGCCGCGTCGCGCTGGATGCTCCTGGAGCAGGGCGTGAAGGAGGAGAGAGGCTGGCTCCAGGTTGCGCATCAACGCGTTCCCGATCTCCAGACTGTCACGTCGATCGACTACGACCAGTACATCTCCCTCTATCAGGTCGGTGATTGCGCTGACACGGCGCTGTCGGCCGTAAATTTTCATTCGTTCCAGAGATTTCTATGAAATGTTCATCTTTTCGTAACCCGCTGATTCGTCACGCTTCAGTCCCTGTCGTCGGACGTAGCGACTCACCATGCGCGATTGATTCAACTGCTCGACGTGGCGCGAGGTCTTCGCGACCTCGTCGACATTGAAGACCCCGAGGACCGATACGGCGAGGCTCTGGATGTGATAGTGAAGCTACAGGAGGACATCGAAGCCTCTCTCAGGAGACTACTCGCTTTCAAGGACAATTGGAATCATCAGGAGGCGCTGACGGATCGGCTGGAGCAGTGGATGACTTCGGCCGAGAAGGAGCTTGCCGTGTTGCGCGACCCATCGGGGAGCTCCATGCGTCAGTTTTGGGTGAGCACTCTTTTCCAGATTCTCTTTCGCTTAGAGAGGGGCCTTCTGTACGAGTGTACATACGAGTATATATTTATAACTTGATAATCTCCGGCAAAAGTGTTCTTCTACGGGCTATATCCGCGCGTGCATTTGGGTCACGTTTTTCCGATGTCGCATTTGGCCACGTGCCATCGCAGACGCAAGTCTCCTTCATCGTCAGCCGTATTTTTGGCGCGATTGAGAGCGGAAGACACAAGAGTGTCTTCTTACGTGATGTTGGATCGGCTCCCTTCTTTTCACCGAGAATCCTCATCTGTGGATCTCAATGTGGCATAAGATCGAAAAAAAGAAAAAGTTGCGGCGCGCGAATACGATCGGCGAGAGCCGAGCGGTCGAAAGAAGGCCGCGACGTTGAAGGCCATCCCGTGCGACTCTACGCGCGCTCTTGTTCCGCCCGCAGGAATTGAAGGCGCAGTACGAGGTGCACAACAACATGCGCAACGAGGCGTACAACTACTTCGAGCAAGCTCTACGAGTGATCCCCTTGGCGGACGAGATGCTGCAGCGGCAATTCCGCGGCGAGTTGCAGAAGCGTTGGAAGGACGTCAGCGAGAAGATCAGCGAGATCCAGGAGGACGTGACCCGCAGCATCTCGTCGGAGGAGATCTCGTCAAACGAGAAGCTGAAGCTGCTCGAGAGGGAACTGAACGAGCTGCGGGTGACGATCAACAGTTTCCACGGGGTGCTGAAGACGGAGGAGGAGCTCGACCTGTACGTCGAGAGGCTCACCGTGCTGTTCGACAGGATCTTCCTGATCCAGGACGAGATCGGTCGGCTGGGCCTCCTGCCAGCGGCGGAGAGCGAGAGGGTCGGGATCCTGCTGTCGTCGGCGCGCTGCATAGAGGGTCTCATCAGCGAGGAGCTGGACTCGGCGCAGTTGCTCCGGGAGAGGATTCAGTGTCTCCAACGCGGACTGAATCGCTTCAGGAAGGCTCACAAGAGACTGTCGACTATCCTGGACCAATGCGAAGGGAGCGAGAAGCAAGGGAGCGAGCTGGTGGCAGCGGCCGTGGACCGCTGTCAGTCGGTCGCGGACGAGCTGGCGGTTCTCTGGCAGGACCTCATGGCGTTGAGGCAAACCCTGCACAACTTGCCGACGGGCATGAGGGTGACGGTGTCGCCGGTGGGCATCGAAAGGGACCTCTCCAACGTGCAGGACACGCACACCGAGCTAGAGTCGAGGTGCGCTCGCCTGCTCTCGTTGCTGCACAGCAAACTGGCGTTGTGGCGGCGTTTCGAGAGGCAGCTGGAGATGGTGCAGCAGTCCGTCCAAGAGGCGGACTACATGATGGAGCTGTTGACCGTCCAGGGCTCCGTCGATTACGACAGACTGCTGAAGGCTACCGAGCGGCTCGAGGTGAGTTATTTTTTCGCCGCGTTATCCGCCTCGCGCGGGAAAGTGGAACGACGTGGATCCGCTTACGAGGTCGGGCAGCCGACGAGTAAAAGCCGACCTGCCGTCGGCGACCTGTAACCTGTAATCAGCCGGAACATTGTTGCAACAGCGTCGATTTTTGCCGCGACGCCGATGCGACAAAATCGAACCGAACGACGCAAAATCGCGCGCGATTTCGAGGCCCCCGTGGAACTTTCCGCGATACTTATGAATAGTCAATCGGCAGTTCGTCGCGTGGCTGACTAAGATCCGATACAGATACAAAGCGATCTTATCAATGACACGGCGAGATCGTACACACGTGTTACACGAAGCGTCGCATCCCGGCAGGCCGCGCAGGCGTCGCGGCTTTCGCTCTCGCTCGTTCAGACTTTAGAGCCGCGTTATCGCGGACTAAAGCGGCGCCTATCAGTACCGCGGGACCCGTGGTCGCGTTTACGTCGCCGCCGAGAATATCCGCCAGCTCAGCCCGCCATCTCTCTCTCTCTTTCTTTCTCTCTTTCCGTCCCCCTTCTCTCCTCCTGCCGCGCGTTCAGTCCGCTGTCCACTGTCTCGAAACGCGCTCCCGTCGCGCGTTTCGATCTCCGTATTATCCGTCCGATAAGCGCGAGTCATCGACAAGTAGATCGAATGAGGCCCCGCGACTCTCCGCTCCGCGGACCGGCGTGACCCTCCGACGCTGGAATTCCACGACGAGGACGAAGCACAATAAATAGCCTCAAGGTAACGTCGCGTCGCCTCGGCCACGTGCGGCGAGCGTTTTCCTCAATGGCGCGACCGCGCTCGCGCGCGGTTTCCGCTCCGGCACGCGGGATTTCCGGCGACCGCGAGTTTCCGCGGAAAATTCCGTGACGTTTTCCGCTCGCGATTAGCAGCCGCGCGTGCTTCCTCACGGTGGTCTCAGGAGTCAGAGTGACGGGTCAGTGCAGGCGAGCGAACGCGTGGTGACGATATTCGCGGCGAATTAGCCGACCCGAGAGCGCCGGAAACGGCGCGTCTCTCGGATGTCCGATGGATCGATCCGCGGCATTCACCTCTTTTTTTCTTTTTTTTTCCACTGAACGCTCCAGCGCCGCGAAACAAGCGCGTTCTCGCGGCTGGATATCCGCGAATGGCAACCGGATGCACGTACGCTCATGCGGCACCGGCGTGCTCTCTCTCTCTCTCTCTCGCGTGCGTCGCGCTGCGCGTTTCAGAAGGTGAGGAGAGACCGTCGTTCTCGTAGCTGCGAAAGTCCGCGCGCGAGAAGCCCAGAAGAACGCGCGTTTCCCCTTCCCCGCGGCTGCATTCGCGTCCCGCCAGCGTCCCATCTCTCGTATCTGTGAAAAAAGAACGAAATCTCAAGGCTTTTGGCGGATTCTGCCGGCGTCTAGGCGGATGATCCAACCTTGAGAGTCCTCATCCTCGCGACACTTTGCAGCGGCCACGCAGTCACGAGCCCTTTGCTTCACCCTGAGCAACCTCCTCGTGAGCGTCGTTGCGGCGAACTACGTGAACCGGAACCGCTGGTGGCACACTCGGCCGGCGAAGAAACCCGGCGGACATCTCGCGGCGATCTCGGAGCGATCGATTCGATGACGCTCGCCTGCGACTCGCGTTCGCACAAAATCGTCATTGATATTTCCGCGCGAAGCCGGCCGAGCGCGTTGCGTTCTCCGCGAATTCTCGCGCGCACGCTTTCGCAAGGATTTATTTCCGCCTTGATGGTCTCGCCTCTGCGTTCGCCGCCGCGCGTGACCGTCGCGCCGCGACGGGAGTCCGCGACGCAGCGGGACATATATGAAGCAAATATATGCACCGTTATCCGGCGACGCGTATTAAGTCGGCGTAGATTGCGTGAGGCGTGAAGCAGTTGCAAAGCAACAGGTCGCGAGACCTGTAACGAGATAGTGGCGTGGTACGTAAAGCGAAGAACACGGTGCGCGCGCGATGCCACGCACGTTGGATCCTCTCCGCGTGCGGTCGGCCGGGATAAGCGCGATTAAGCGAGAATAGCAGCGCGATGTACAGTTATTATCGACATTTTTCCGCGAGACCAGACCGGCGAAGTTGTACGTTCGACTCTCCGCGATCAGTCCGCGATTATACGCTCGCATGCTCGCACAAGTGCAGGTGCGCCGCTGGAAATCCGTGGAGCGGAGCGTCGGTCTCCGGTCTCACGCGCCGAGCCGCGCCGGCGGAAAATCCGCGGAAAAAGTCTCTCACAAGATCGTCCGCGGTCGGCGCGGCGGCGAAAGAGCCAACGCGGACGCGTCGTTATCGGAGCGATAAGAAGCGTCGCGTCGCGCTCCGCCGCCGCGACGCGACGCGACGCGACGCGGACGCAAGAAATAGCGCGTCGAGCGCGCTAACGAGCGCCTACGGCTAATCCACTTTAGAAATAATTACGCAGGATGACGTAGAGAAGGATGACCGACTGAAGTCTAGCGCTCGGGCTTAAAGCTCGACGTGGCGCGATACGCTATGTGTAAACTGTGGCACGTGGAGAAGCACGCGTCGCTGCGAGAGTCGCGGCTGCGGCTGGCCGAGCGTGTATTTACCATTTCCTTTCCTAGTAGCCGCTATTGATTTATCCTCGCGCGTCTCGTGTCGGGGCATTCGAAATGTAGGAATGCTAAGGTAAACCGCCTGACGATTAACACACCAACGTGGCCTCACGTAAAATATGCACGCGCGCGCGCGAGCGAGGCCCGACGCGATGCGATAATCGCGCAACACCGCGCGCCGCCGTAAGTAGTCGCGAGTATTATTATTTGCCGACGGACCCTCCCACAGGGAGGATGCACCGAGGGAGGGACGCGGTGTCGAGAGCGCTATCGAGAGACAGAGAGAGAGAGAGAGAGAGAGAGAGAGAGAGAGAGAGAGAGAGAGAGAAAGAGAGAGAGATAGAGAGAGAGAAAGCGGCGGCTGCAATCGGAATACGGCATTCGGCATCGGAGTCGTCAATTTCCGCGTACGCCTTTCCGCGCGCGGGAAACTCGCGGCGAGGTGAACGAACTCGAGTACACGACACAGAATTAGTTCAACCACGTTCTGACCGAATTCATGTCGCGGCTCTCGAAACGTGCTGGTCTCGTGCCGCAAATTTATTTATAGCGCGTTTTAAGTAAAACCGGCGTGCCTGCGCTTTCTTTGAATTGTCTGGCGCGAAGCCGCCGCGCTACGCCGACCATCGAGATCTCCGTGCTTCCCGAGATCGCTTCGCGACGGATATCAACGCTCTCGATCGACGCGGGAATTTCGCGGCGTATCCCCGAAATCCCGACGCGTCCGATGAGGATCGAGAATCCGAGGGAATCAGTAGCGAGAGAGAGAGAGAGAGAGAGAGAGAGAGAGAGAGAGAGAGAGAGAGAGAGAGAGGGTAATCCGTCATCTTGCAGCTGACGGCCGGTCGTTCCAACTTCTTGGTGAGTTCACTGACTGTTAAATCATATGTCTGTCCTTTGTTTTTCCTTCAACTTGGACAAAGACAGACGTATGATTTAACTGTCAGCTAACTCACCAAGGAATCGGAACAACCTGGCCTGGCGCGCGCGCGCGAGATTGACAGTCGCGCGCGCGAGCGACTGTCAATCTCGCGCGCTAATCTTGCCCGTGTCTTCTTTGCGATCCTGCAGGGTCTGAGCGGCGATTTGGGCGCCCGGGAAGTTCTCATTGGCGAGCTACGTGCCGCCGCCGAGCCTTTGCGGGAGAGTTGCGCCGCAGAGGTCCGCGAGAAGGTCGACGCGGCGGTAAATGAGGCTGTACAGGCTTGGGAGGACACAAGGGCCGAATTGGACGCCCTTTGCACCCGCTATCAGCGCGCGTGCAACCTCTGGCAGCAGTACAGGGACTCGAGCGCCGCGGTGAAAGCCTGGGTGGACACCCAGATGAACAGCGTGGTGAACCTGCCGCCGGAGGAAGCAGTCAAGCAGATCAAGGTAGGTGGAGAGAACGCTTCCGTCGCTTGAAATTCAACACGAGTGGCCTTCGCGATTATCATAAGTCAAACGCGAGAGCCACTCGCCGCGCGTCGCGCCGGCCCGAAAGCAGTCCGCTTTCGGAAACACCGACCGCTCGCCGAGCCGATCTCGGCCGCGCGGAAGTGGAAGACGCGTGAGAGGACGCGCTAATGACGCGATAAGTAGCGTCCGAACGGGGACGCCTCTCGCGGGAGAATCGTGGATTCGCCCGGCGCGAACGGCGCTAATTTGCTAAAGAAATCATCGAGTCGCGCGTGCGAAAGTCGGCGAGATCGACGTCTCACGCCGAAAGGCAAGTCCTCCTCCGCTCGCGTTCTTCCTTCGTCCTCGAAATACAATCCGCCGTGATAACAGGCGCGCCAAGGGACGATGAGGAATGATGAGAGCGCACGACGACCTCGTGAAAAAGATAACTCGCGGTAAGCAATGCGAGGTACGAAATACGAATAAGTGACAACAGTTGAGACGCGGCTGTGCGATAAGCAACGGCAAGCTCGATAAGCGAGTGTACCGGATAAACAAGGTTGCACCTGGAGCGACACGATCTCGCTCGCGCTCTTCACACAAACCCTGACTCGCAGGCCGAGTGACGTGAATCGCGCGTGGGATAACTGATGTTGGAACTTGACTGACAACAAACTTGGCTATCAAGCATTTCTGCATACGCACGCACACATACACACACACACACACATAGTTCCGGTTCAACGGCGCGCGCGAAAATATGCTCGCGACGCTCGTCGACAGGCTGAAGAGAAGAGAAGAGCGACGGCGCGATTCGCGTGAAAAAGCACGATCGATATTTTCACTCGCACACTCCTCGCATCTCACCATCTCGACTCGCATCGACTGAGAGTGAGAACCTTTCCCTCCCACGAGACGGCCGCACGGCCCGACCGTGGCCGCCGGCGAGTCGGAGACTCGCGCAACAGACTCGCGCTTTCATCCCCTGAATGGAGAAGCGCGTGATGTCATCGTCCCCCCGCTGTGCGCGGGCGCACACTGTGCGCCATCGGCGTCGGGCGTGTGCCGATGATGAACACGCTCGTGTTCGACACGGGCGAAGAATCGAGCGAGAAGCGAGAGGTCGACCACACATCGTCGTGATCGTCGCCACCCCTCGGCCTCGCGCACACACAGGCGTGCCGGCCCTGGCAGGGGTAGGTCGGCGCGAGAATACGGGGCAAGAGGGCGGACGCGCGCATCGATCTCTCGCAGAGACTACGCCAGTCTGGTCCAGGGCGTCGAGGCGCTTGCAGCATCTCCGAGAATCGCGCTCTCTCGATTCTCCTGCGCTTCTCCTCGTCCGAGTCGAGCGAGTCTCGCCGGAGGAAGGAACGCGGCGAGCGCGGTCTTCGTTATCGCTGCCGTCGTCGCTTATCAGCCAGCCGCGTTTGAACACTCGCGCGTATCGGACGCGCGTGTTGCGAGAGCGTCAGCCTCGAATGATGCTCCTTGCGTGTGTGCGTGTGCTCTCGGCTGTGCGCGTGGGTACGTGTACACGCATCGACGACCGGTCGGACCATGTGTTCGCACGGCGACAGACGACAGTATAACGTCGCACGTGGACTCGCCTCGTTTCGGAGCGGAGGTTCGTGACGCGCGTCGTGAACAAGCAGGAGGCATGGCCGGCGGTTTCTGCTGAGACATGTGCACGCCGGAGGAAAGGAAGGTAAACGCACGCGCGCGCGCGCGAAGATTTCCGCGCGCGATCCGCCGAACGGGATGGACCAGTGAAAAGACGTGACTGTTCGACGCGCAGAGAGGCCGGAGATTAGCGCCGGCCTGAAACAACGGGACGGAAATAACTTTGGCGCTCTCCGAAAAGCACGCGGCCCGTGTCGCCTCGCGTAAATATTTTCCCCCGTCTCTACGTTTTTTATCGCCTCTAGCTAGAACCTCGCGCTGCTCACGGAGAGGCGAGAAATCGGGTCAGACTCGCGTCTGCGTCTCTCCTCGCTCTCTCCCTCTCTCTCTCTCTCTCTGTCTCTCTCTCTCTCTCTCTCTCTCTCTCTCTCTCTCTCTCTCTCTCTCTCTCTCTCTCTCACCTGCTCGGATTTTAACGGCGGTTTTCCGGAAAGCGAGTTTTCCGCGGAATCCTTTAATACGTACCGTGAACTTGGACCCTCGCGCCGTCAGTCCGTCAGAACTCGGCTGTACGAAGACTAATTACGCCGGAGATTAATTACGCCGGTGATTATCGAGGAGCAAGGCAGAAATCTGCCGCACGGAGAGCGAAGGTGTTGTCGTAAATCAGCGGAAAATCGTAACCGAGATTAATCGCGCGAAATTTTCACTCTCCCGCCGCGAATTGCTCAGCCGGTCGCTGAACGTGCATATTTACGCGGAATGCTCGACAGCGTCTTGATAAATTCGTTCGAAAAGGAAGCCGTTCGTTAAGCCCGACCGAAAAACCGAGAGAGCGGAACACCGCCCAAAGCGGAGCCGAGCACGTTCGCTCTCCCGTTTTGCATTTTGCGAAATAGATGAGCCGCGTACCACCCGGGTTGAGATTGTGAGACGAAAGCGAGCGCGTTTCACAAAGGCGGATGTCAGCGCATCGGAGGTCTTGCCCCGAGCCCGATAATGCATGCGTATCGCGAGACACTCGCACGTTTGTTTAGTCATCGAAGCCGCTGGAGGGGAGAAATGCCTCTTTTTCCTTTGGCTCGCCGTTGCTCCGATTTTATGTGAACACCGAAGAAAGACGCTCGCTCGTATACAGCGCGTTTTATGTGACGTCACACATACACACACACACACACACGCGTACACACACGAAGGACAAAGTCAAGTGCTGCTACAAAGTCTCAGCGAGACATCGGCGACGGAGATCAAATCGATGCGGATATCGCGTGAACGTCAACTATACAACTGTTCGACGCTCTTCAAACAATGGGAGAGGGGTGGGGGAGAGTTACAAGTTCGAGTATTTAATTATCGGGGTACAGCCGCAGAGAGCACGGAGACGCGCGTATCGATTTGCACTTGCATGCATGACGGGCGGGATGGGCGGGCGGAAGGAGGGAGAGGCGTGATAATTAACGCGATTACCGGCGGGGAAAAATCCGGCGCGAAAATGCGCGGGGGCGGGGAGGGGAGGGAGCAGCGAGAAGCTAAATCACGCGAAGGTAAGCGGCGACGAGACGCACAAGGAGAGAGACACAAGAGCGAGACAAGCGCAGGGCGGATCGTAATGGGGGGAAACGCGGTCTCACATTTTCGCGGTAAAGTCTGTTTTCCCACGTGGAGGAGGGATAATGGACACGCACTATACATGTCTATAAATACCGATAGAGCGCGATAAACGCACACGCCCTACATGTCGAAGACGCTAAGTGCTGAGTTCTGGATGCGTGCATCCTCTGGCTCGGCTGCATCTTCAGCCGAAGGGACTTCCAAACGCGCGATTACAATAATTTTATAATTATTATTGTAACCGAATATACACAAACACACGCGCATAACGCGTACGAGAGACGCTCCGTTTGATCGCAACGACGGACGGTCTCCGGCGGAAATTCTCCGAGGCGGAGAGTGAGAAAATCGTCACGCACAAACGAGCCACGCCGCGACTCTAACGGGTCGTCGTGTCCTTCCCTTGCCGCGAAGTCCCCGGACGAGAGGCGGCTAAGAGAGGCAGCTGCGAGAGGCAACGATCCGCATGAACGATGCTTCGAATCTGTCGTAGGTTTGCGAGGAGACCCTGGCGGAGCACAAGGAGAGACTGGCGGAACTGCGCGGTCTGGTAGCACAGATCGCATCGGACGTGGGTCTGGACGCCGGTGGACCGCTGCACTGCGAAGTCGAGGCGCTCGGTCAACGACTCGAAGATGTCCGCGAAACCTTGTCGACCCTCGCGGACACGGTGGACGCGCGTGTCCTCAACCAGGAACTCGCACGCGGCGATCTCTGCCAGACGAAAAATTTCCTGGACTCGGTCCAACAGGTACGCGCGCTCTCTCGCTCCTCCATTTTCGCGCTCGCCCATCACGACTCCCCCCATCCTGCCTGGCTACGTCATCAGCATCTCGCGCGAGAACCTGAGAATGCCTCGAGCGGCTCGTCTCTCGAGTCCCAGCCGAGAGACGAGCGGGCCGAGGAGAGGAAAGCAAAAGGATAAAAGAGAGAGAGAGAGAGAGAGAGAGAGATGTCACGTCCGTGACATCACGATCTGCGAATCGCGGTTCCGCTTCGGTTTCGCCCCCGCCGATTCCGCGCAGGCTAGGTAGAGCTCCGCTCGAGCAGAGAGTTCCCGAAATTTTCGGCCGAGCTGGCGCGGCCAGCTCGGCCGAAAACGGCGGTTAGTCATCCACCCTGGTACCTTCCGCACGTACGTGCGCGGATTCAGCGGGCCTTGGCGAGAACGTGCGAGACCTTCCTCGAATTTCTCGCAGTTAAAACATTTTTCAAGGATCGATGTGTACACACACCTTCGGCGAAGGTGATCGTTAGGCCCCGCCGCGCCGCGCCGGGCCGGGCTCGGTCTGACGTATCAACGGTCGGACGTCCGTCAGTTCCCGAGCGGGGCGCACCATTGGTGCTTGGCACAACCTCGATCATCGCTTCGCACGCGCGTTTATATTTTAATCGCGGTAGTTCCGAAACAATTTGTTATGTCAAGGCCGAGAGGCTTAACCCGGGGTGGCAATTACATCAGTCACGAAATCCGCAACAGCTGAATGGCTCGCGGCGTAGAGGCAGCCGAGCAGCCGCGCGCCCTGAGCCAGGGCGGAAACTTTGGAACTTTGGAGCCGCCGCCCCGCGGCCGCGTTTTCCGACGGAATTTGCGGATTGAGCACGACTCGTCGCGCTCAACGTCGATCGCGCGGATCAAGCCGGACTCGATACGATCCTACTTGGCGGCCGAAGGAGGAGGTATAACTTAATAAAGGGAGGCGTCGCGTCGGCCGCCTCAAGGATTCCGTACTGAGCGGTACTGAGAGCCGTACTGAGGACACTAGAAGGATAGGTGCGAAGGTGCATTGATCGCGGGTGCACCTTGGCGCGTTATCGACGTGCGCCTCCTCGCTCGCGTCGCGGGATGATTCACGGAAGCACTCGCTCGCGCCTTCTCGCTCGCCGAATTGATTCGTCAAGGCGTTTCGCCTCCCCGCCGACGAGGCTCTTCCCGAGCCTCGCCGACGGGGACGCGCGATACAACGCACACGACGCGGCTCGGCCAGCGCTAAACCCCCCGGAGATATATCCCGTTGGCAATTTGCAGAGTCTCACAGCGGTGGGTCAAGGTGAGTCGAACGAGCAGCTGACGATACTGCGGAATCATCTCCTGGCGCTCACGCGGACCGAGCCGCAGCTCCAGTCCATCAAGGATCGCGCCCTGGACGTGGCCGTGCAAGAGCCCTCCGTGGTCGAGGTGGTGCAACTGTGGCAGCGCGTGTTCCAGGAGACCTTCCAGCAATACCACCGGCTGTCGACGCGACTGATACGCTCGCAGGACGTGGCCGCCGCGCTCAAGCTCTGGGAGGAGTACCTGACGCACGTGCGGGACTTCTTGTCGAGCGGCGTGCCCGGCGACTACAACGGACTGTCGGAGTACCGGAACATCTGCGAGGTGCACCGGAAGCTCCTGCCGGAGCAGCAGAATCTCATATTGACCGTGCGGCAAGAGGAGGACCGTGACCGATCGGTCGCCGAGCAGTTTAACGCCCTGACGAATCTGCACAATGAGACGCTCGCGAGGATACTGGAGCGGCACACAACGGTGCGCGACAGGATCTCCGCCTGGGACAAGTACAGGCAAGACCAGGGCAGGCTGTTGACGTGGCTGAAGGAGGTCGAGAGGGAGCGGCAGCGCATGCACTTGCAGTTTATTCATCTGAAACGGCTGGACAAGATCCTGCAGAGGATCCAAGCGCTGCTGGACAAACTACCGTCCGGCGAGGCGCAGGTGGGCTCGCTTCAGGAGCAGCAGGAGTACCTGCTGACCGACTGCGACGAGGCGCTGGCTGTCTCGATACGCATGGAGCACGCGGCCAGCGTGCAGCGTATCGCCAATTTGCGAGCCGGCCTGGAGACCTGGCGGGACTTCGTCCAGAGGGTGCAGAAACTGCACGCGCAGCACGTCGAGCAATCCGGCCTGGTCACCGCGACCTTCCGCGAGATTGGCCAAGCGCTCAGCTCGGCCTTCCACGCGGGCCCGACGAGTCTGTCCAGGACGAAGGAGCAGCTGGAGTCGCTTCAGCACCTGAGAACTCGTCTGGCCGAGGGGCAACGTAACCTCGAGTCCCTCGGCGTCGTCACCGAGCAGCTGAGGGAATGCTTGAGTCCGAGCGACATGAAGACGCTGAATCAGCACGACGCGCTTCTGTCGCAGCAGCACGGCGACCTTGAGTATCAGCTGGCGCTGTTGGCCTACAGGCTTGGCGAGCGCTACGGTCTTCATGGCCGGTGGGAGAGCAGGTTGAGCAAGTTCCTGCAGTGGGTGGAAGATACCGGGACGAGAATGCGAGGTTACGACACCATGGCGTTGGACGAGCCCGAGGAGGCGTTGAAACGACTCGACTGCGAGCTGCAGACCGAGATGAACTTGAAGCAGCGCGAACTCGAATGGCTGCAGAACACCGGGCAGGAGCTGATAGAGGCCGCTGAAGAGGCGGAGAAGGCGAAGCTGCAGCAGTCCTTGGACGAGGTGAACGCAAAGTGGGATCTCTTGATGTCAGGCAGCAAGGCGAGGGCCAGCAAGTTGGTCGACCTGATACACACCATGAACTCGTTGCTGAAGAGAATAGCCGACTTGCGCACTTGGCTGGCGGGCATCGAGAGCCAGCTGTCGGAGACCTTCATCATCGAGAAACTCACGCAGAGGTGCATCGATAAGAAGCTCGAGGATCACGAGCATCTCAAGACCACCATCGAAGCCGAGACCGCCAATATCGGCCAGGTGTTGAATCTGTGCGAAATCCTGCTGAACGACTGCGACACGTGGAAGGTCTCCTTCAACATGGACGCGATCAAGAACGGAATGGAGGGTTTGGAGAAGAGATGGAAGACCGTGTGCGTCAAGTCCACCGAGCGCAAGAGGAAGATCATGATGACCTGGAAGATGCTGCAGGAGCTGGACAAGACCAGGTGCGAACACGAACCTTGGCTAACCAAAACGGAAAAGTCTTTGTCGGGCCTGGAAGCGGATTTACTCGAGGTTTCCAAGGATGAGTCGGAGAAGATGATCGAGAGGGCCAAGTCGATGGCTAAGGACATCGAGGCGCGCCAGAAGGCCTTGAAGGTCCTTGAGCAGGTGTTCGGACGCTTAGCAAAATCTGGGTTAGAGCCCGACAACTTCCGCTCGCTCACCCACGAGGCGCGGAAGACCATCGACAGGTGGTTGGCCCTCGAGACGAGGATCAAGGCTGTCATCACGTGCCTCCGACGGGAACAGAAGACTTATCGAGAATTCGTGTCGGCGCACGGCGCCGCAGTGGTGGGTCTCACGCAGGTGGATGTCCGTCTCACGCAGATGCAACATCTAGCCACACCCGAGCAGAGATCGTCCTCGCGACGAAGACGCCAGCAGCTGAGCGAGATCGAAGAGGAACTCAACACGCAGAACGTCACCCTGCGCAAGGCGGACGAACTGGCGCTGCGTGTCATGCAGGAGAGCAACGCCGACGACGTGGCGGCGGTCCAAGAGCTGGTGGACGAGTATCAGCTGCTGTGGAGGGACATCAAGGCGCGGGTAGCCGCGTTGAAGGCGGAGTTGGAGACGCAGGAGAAGTCGGAGGTCGACGAGGCGGTGCAGGTGGAGACCCTGAAGTTCGAGCAAGACACCGCTGTGCAGGTGGACACCTTGCCGAGGCTCGTCAGAATGACTTCGTGCGACGCTTACCTCATGGAACTGGAGGCCGCCTTGAACGAGTGCAGCAACGCCTTGGACGCTCTGGAGGCGGCGATAACGCCCGACCCTGTCTCCGGTCCCGGATTAAACGCTGCCGCCAAGACTATCGTAAGATATTCACCGGGGCTCATTGTGCCTCCTCCGCTTCTTGTGTGAGACTTCTTGGCCGACACGAGTGTGCTGACGTGTGCGCGTACGTTGCAGGCCAAACTAATCGGAAGTTGCCAGTCGTCGATAGAACTGGTACGTCATCTCCATAGTCTACTCATGGAAGACGACAAATTGAGTTTAGGAGCTGCCAAGAGTAGCGAGGTAACGACACTAATTGCTCGATACGACACACTCATTGCACTAGCGAGAGCACGTGAACAGCAAATCAGAGAGCTCAGGTAAAGTTCCCTTCACGCTCACTTCATTCTCTTTAGGCATTTACTTTCGAGCGTTCCGATCGATGAAATGATTTGCGAGTAACGACGAGTCACCCCCCTCCCCCTCCCCCATCTCGGGGGGAGACTCGCACCCTAAGCGCACGAATTCTAAATTCTTCGCTTCACTTGAAACTCGCACACGAGTTGTCACGACACTCGGTCGAGAGAATTCTTGAAGTCTCGAGATCTATCGGAGACGATTTTGTGCTCACACCGCTTTTTGCGCGCGTAAAGGCTTATCTCTTCTTTTAATCTCGCCATCGATTTACGTGTCACAGAGACGAAGTGACCTCGCGGGAGTTAACTTTCAGGGACACTTGAAACACTCGAGCAATGTTCGTTGATAATTTACACTGTTTTTGCTATTGACTGCGCTATCGACTGCGATTACGTGATCCGTGAAACTCTTCAAGTTTCGATGTCTCATGGGTAACACCGTTGTATGTATTCATGCGTGCCAACAACGCGTCCATCCAACGTCCATCATTCAGACGCAACGCTGTCTTCTTCGCGATTCTCCCGCCACTAACACCTGATACACCTGATAATAATTGACGTGATACGACCGTCAATGTCGATAACGCTTGTCCTTCCCGCGTCGTTCAAGCCTTTCGCCCATTTAGACTCGTACCGCCTCGCAATAATTTCTAATGCAAACAACAACGCTTGTGTGTGGCTAAAGCCAATTAATATAACGCTTATCCCTTATCCCATACAGATCGCCCATCACCGACGCTTACGCTTTCCCATGCGACCAGTGAGTAACTGACCATGTAACAATTAATTCTTCACATCAAACTCTTACCTTAATCATAGTTTCGCTGTTTCCAAAGACCAGTAATCGCTATTTCCAAAGACGGTTTTCCGTCTCTCGTGTTTGTCATTTAACGTTTAAGAGCGGCAAGTTCTTGCACAAAGTGTTTCCCAGATCCTACGACCGCTAATGCAAATAAATAAATGCGGTAGAGCAGTCCTCGCATAAAAACAAAAAGAAATAGAAGCACAAAGTATAACGCGTAACAAGCGAGGTGAATAATCTTCATCGGAAACCGTAATTTCAAGTAATTCCAATTTCCTCCTCGAGCGATCGACGATCGAAAGCATGACCGCATTTGCAAATCTCCTACAGCGATAGCGGCAGACTGACCTGCCCACTGTGCTCCCGTCGCAACTGGGCCCAGCTGGACAATGACCTCTGGCGTTTGGACAAGTGGCTGGAGTTCGCCGAGGGCACGCAAAGCGAGCAGCACTCGCCGCCGGGCGACATCGAGCAGCTGGAGGACGTGATCCAGGATCACCGCGAATTCCTGCTCGACCTCGACAGTCACAAGAGCATCGTGGTGAGCCTCAACATAGTCGGCGCCCACCTGGCCGACCACACCGAGGACACGGAGCGCGCGAAGGAGCTGCGCGATCGATTGGCCGTGGCGAACGGCAGATGGGAGAAGATCTGTACAGCTGCCGCACAATGGCAGGGACAGCTGCAGGTCGCCCTTATGACGAATCACCAGTTCTATCGTATCATAGAGGAGCTGTTGGCCTGGCTCGAGCGCACGGAGATCAGCATACGAGCGAGCGAGCCGATCGACCTGACCGAGTCCGCCGACGTCATAGAGGCGAAATATAACAAGTTCAGGTAGAGATCTCGACTCGACTCGAGTCCGTTGACGCGCAAGGACGCAAGGACGCAGACTCGGTGCAAGCCGAAAGAGGAGAGGCAAGTTAGCGCCCGCTAACGAGACCTTGCTTGCTCGCTTATTTTCAGGGAACTGCGAAGCGACCTGGAACGTTGCGAACCGCGAGTGATATCGCTGCAAGAATCGGCCAACCAACTCCTGGACGAACAGACGGAGAGCAGAGCGCGTCTGCAGGAACTGCGGCTGCGGTTGCAGTCCTTGAGACGACTCACCGGGATCTATGCTCTGAAATTAGGAGCGGCTCTCGGACTGGACCCGCGGGATGTCGGTCTCGCCGCTGCGACGTCGTCGCTCGCATCATTGTCACACGACGTAAGCTCGATCCTTTCGTGCGGTGGAATTTGTCTTTTGACTTGAGAAGGATCACCGTGTAATTTACTCGACCTACTCGGGTCGATTATTACCGAGCTCGTACGAAGGTACAAGATCTCTCGTGTCAGCATCAGCAGATACAGAATCGACGACATTGCCACACGTAATAATTCGAATGACGTCACACATTTAATAGCTTGAGTAAAATTGAGTAACGATCTCAGTGAGTTTTTTTCTCTCTTTTTTTTCTTGTTCTTTTTTTATTAGAGAGAGAGAGAGAGAGAGAGAGAGAGAGAAAGAGAGAGGAGAAGAGAAGCGTCTCATCTGCGTGTACACGCGATAATGTAGAGACACTCGTGTGTCGTTTACATATATCGCGATATACTGGTACTGGTAGATCTTCATACCGTCCTCATAATTGCCACTCGTCCATCACACACGGTGAAATGCGATCGTTGCTTTTGTTCCCGTCTAGGTGTATAGCGTATTATCGTAGATATCGTTGCACGACTTTAGTAAAATCACACGAGCCAATCTCGCCGAGCGAGCAGCGTCGTCCGACGATGAGGAATCGACAGTCGCGAAATCCCCCGACTATCTTCTCTGCCATCGTAGCGACGCTCCCGCGCAACAAATTATCAGTAGCAGCCACTTGCACCGTATCTTATTGTTTGTGTTTTCTGTTTTTTGTTGAACTGTAGCTGCTCGACGAAGCTGCCTCTGGGACTGCTCAGCCTCACGCCACCGGCACAGAGTATGTTGTTACCTCTTTCCCTCTTTCGCCGCAGCGACATTGCGGATCGCGGTATTGGAGCCGAGATTGGAGCTCTGCTCGTTCCGGGTAGAGTAGAAAATCGCGCGATAACGTTGTCAGAATGACACGGGGAAAACGTGGGATCGAGGAGCGAGTCTCCAGCGTCGTTTTCTCGCGATTTTCTCTTCTGCCGGGGGGACAACGATCACACATCACGATGTCGTCGATGTTGTCGCAGGAGGAGGCGCGTCGCTCTTCCGGATCATTTCGACGAGCAGAGCCCGGCTTTTCGTAGATCTAAGACGATAAGTCGCGAGTCTTCTCCCTCAGCGAGACGTCCTCCCTTCTAACGTCGTTCCACCGTCGCGAATCTGTTTCAGTGGTGACGAAAGGGACCGAACGGTGTTGGCGCGCGGGTACCGTTTCCTCGGGAGAGTCCTGCGGGTCTCCCTGCCGATCCAAGCGCTGATGTTGCTCCTGCTCGGCGTCGCGTCGCTGGTACCGTCCGCAGAGGAAGACTACAGCTGTATGCTGTCTAACAACCTGGCGAGGAGCTTCACCCCGTTAGCCTTTTATCCGAACGGACCGCCACCGGTATAGCAGTGAACACGCAGCCGACGCAGTTCTTGTTTCTTCGCCCAGAGATTCGATCTTTCCTTCGGAATCGATCTTCGCGGGAACATCGAGGGGGCGAGCTCACATCGGTGTAACATACGAAATGACGGAAGAATCGTATCGCGATCAATTCGCGTTCAGCCTCATTCTCCCTGCGGGCACGTATGTGTGTGTGCGTGTGTGTGTGAGTACGTGCGTGCAAGCGCACACATAAAAAATTCGTACTGCCTCCGCCGAGCTCGCGTCCCGTCGGTGTTCCCGTTCCGGCCGCAGCGCGCATCTCGCAGGAATCTTTATATATTATACGGTAGTTTTACACACGACGAATTTCTACGTAAATCATGTAACGGACCAAACGGTGACTGAGAATATGTTGCCGGGAGGAGACGAGGACGCATTGTTAATTTATTGTAATACACACGTATCGCTGCGTACCCGTACAGCGCGCATTCTCGAGTATTCTCAGTTACTCGCGGTATGAGAATTGTATTTCGACGAAGTGTTCGTTGCAAGAGGAGAACTACGACGACGATAACAACAACAACGACAACAACAATAACTATCCACCGGGGTGATCGCAGGACGTACCGCACACGAACACGACCGAAACACAAAGAGACGATTGATTATATACATATATATATACCTTATCATAGCCAATGACGTTCCACGATGTTGAGCAGCGACACTCAAGACATTGCGCGACCTCGCGCGTCACTCAGTATCGCGCCTCGCGGTTCATCGCTTTCTGTTGTACAAAGAATTGATTTTCGCTTCGGACGGCGAAAACCCAACGTGTGCAAATGTCGTGCGCACACGCGCGACATATATATGAGATAAATTAAAAGGAAAAAGAAAAGAGAAAGAGAAAATACAAGAGAAACTTTTCAGACACGCCCGCAACATATAATGGGACACACATGTGTTTATATATATGTGTGTGTGTGTGTGTGCGTTGAGTGTGCGTTGAACCTCGTATTTAACGCGGCGTTCCTACACCGTATGCAACATTCGTGATAGAGGATTGACATAAGAAATATATATATATATACTTGCCTAACTTTATTTTTTATACATTATGTTTATATATACATATATAAATATATATAAAAGCGTCGCGTCAAATATCAGTTCTCTCGGGAGGTTTCTCTCGGGAGTGGGAGTGTCCGGCTCCGCCACGACACGTTCTCTCTCGATACTTGATGTAACATCGGCGGGATGAGTATAAAAATGGTGCTAATTCGGAGCGCAACGTCTTCTACGGGGCGGGAAAGGAACGACCTTGAGAAGTGGAGCATCGATCTGTTGCAATCGTTTTGCCTGTTGCATTAATATTCCATGAATAAAGTTAAGGGGAAAGGTTGTACGACGACTGCGTGTGTGTGTGTGAGTGATCTGTTCTGCGTAAGTATAAAAAGGAGAGAAAAGAAAGTAACAATAATCACGGGGATATATGATGAACCGACGACAACGCACAGCGAAGTGGGGGCGCGCGCGCGTGCATTATAATTCATCCTGTAAAGATTAACTGATCTTGTAACGCTCACTAGTTACGCTTTCGAGATTGAGTTCCCTGCTTACTGCACACTGTGCTTCGTTATGTATTTTTATAAAGAGAGAGCTTCAGAAAGGTGGTGTATATCTATCGGTATAATATATTATTATGAACGTAATCTCTCTCTGCAACCCCCATGCGCTCATTCGTACTCGCGTCCACTCGTGGCGCTCTCCTCCCAGAGTGAGATCACTCTGGAGATCGCCCGTGGAGAATCGCGAGCATCGAGGCTGACTCGGTCCTCTGGACTTTATCGGCCGTGGTGGGACGATAACGTGATAAACACGGCGGTGTGAATGATTTACTTTATTATAATGTACACTTACGTCAACTTATGTCACACTGCGAACGTTATAAAAAACTATACAGTCTTGCTTCTTTCATCATACATTCAAAAATATACATGATGTCACATGGAAAAGAATGAGTTTCGGAACAATGTCACTCGCGTTATGATGAATCAATTGGTCGGGTTCTTCAACGTCGCCAGTTGCTCGGAATACTCGAGGTACAATCTTTGCCAACGAAGATGGCCACCGACCACAGCCAATACATCACCCAACAGCTTATGCTTTTTTATACCCTGTAAGGTGAAAACAAAGCGATGTTAAGAGACGATCTTCGCGATCGAATCGGTTAGAGGCTGATGAGATACAGGCGACATTACCAAAATGGCAGGATCCCATACGCTCTTCGAGGCTGATGTGTGACTCGGGCCAAGGAGATCGTCCAAGATTAACCTCAGACGTCTTTCCAAACCGTCTGAAGTAAAAACGTGGCAAAGATGTACGACCTTGGGATTGGGAAGAAACACACGGACAGCGCGCAACGCGAAACTATAACGTACCTTGAGTTAACAAGAACGACACCAAAGCCATCAGCCAATGAACGTATTCTTGAGCGCTTCCAAGAGCCTTAGAAGCCAATAACTGTTGCTCCAAATAGGACACCACGCTCGGTGCGCTATGTGGCAAACGTGGATTTGGCAAAGTGTTGCCGGCAGTCTTGAGCAAGCCCTCCTGCAGCGACGATAAAGGCCCTCTAGGCGCTCTACTCCCTGATGTGCTCAACACATTGAACGATGACCAACGCCACACTGGGTCTTGGCTATCTCCGATTAATAACCACGTTCCTGTACGATATATTTAATGATCGTTATAACCGTAGCTCGATGAGAGAGAAAAGAGGAAGCGATGGGCTCATCATACCCATGTCTTTATGGTACATGTATGCTCGCGCGTTAGTAAATGCCAGATGGGGCATCCCGTTATAAAGCGTACACGACAACAGGGACGTCCCAGGCGCCGCTAAATGAGCAGCTGAGGTCGAAACAATCATTCTACACGTATTCCCTATTTCCCACACGCGGACCGCACCGCAGCTTGATATTATCATCACCTGTAAAAGATTTTTGCAGATGTGTAGAGCAACGAGTTCTTTGAACTGCATTTAAAATTAATTAATGCAAAAAAATCACATAACGGATGTCCACATCTGGACACAGCGAAATTTGGCGGTTTGTACTGACGGCTGATACCGGAAATGAACCGATATGAAATTAGGGGCGAATTACCGCATTTCCGACAGCGTGAACCTTCGCCAATGGAGCTGGGGGCGCCAAAGGCGGTGCTGGACGACAGCCTTTGGCAGGATGAAACGTATGAAGGCTTCCATCCTCCAAGCCCAAGGCTATCACAGCCGGTGATGCTGCTAACGCCACGGCACTATATCCTAAATAGAGATCCCACGTAGGTTCAGAGTCTGTACCTCTGAACACTTGCAGATGCGCTAAACCTTGACTATTGGTGACCGTCACGGCGTAGTGACCGGCCTGCTGAGACAATGAACTGGACGGCTTGAGAGGAGGCAGTAACATTTGTCCAGTACTTTTGTCAAACATGAATCTGGGTTTTTTAGCGAATGAAGAGTGATGCGTCCTTGGCGTCGACTGCTCTCTACGTTTCAACGTGAGGGTCGACCCTGAGGTGTCGACAGTAGCTGACTTTACGGACGACGAAGTGACATTTGGGGCGACGACGTCGTTGCGTTTTTCTATTACGATCGAACTTTTCGTCTGTACCTTGCTGATGAATGTTGGTGTGCCTAAGCTGCCGCCGATCGTCGTATCCCTAAAGATTGACACGATAAATATCGCCCTCTGAAGATCTGATTCTAAAGGAGGGAATTAACTCACGCCGTATCTGCTGGCGGCGGGATGAACATTGGAGTAATTCTTCTTTTGCCGTCTGAAGTTCTCGTTTCAATTTGCTTATTGATAGGTCCTTTAACCGGAGTGACTGTAGTGGTATGGACTGTAGTGGGTGGAGGAACACTTGGGGTGGATGGGACTTGAGAAGGTTGATTCGCCGGTGCTGGTGGCTTCAAATTGAGCAGTTCTGGTGCCTCCATCACCATGCAACCTCCTTGAACCAATGGTTTGCCGTACAATCGTTCATGCAGACTACTCTGTAAATACAAGAGAAAAACAATTTACCGATTTTGTCGAAACCGATTGAGAATATTGACAGCTGCACGTTTACAGCATATATAATTACTTGCTCGGCAGGGTCAAGTGGTTGTCCCAATTCTTGTTGAGTAAATTCGATGAACACAGCCGTTCCATCCCACGAACATGCTGCAAGTCGAAGGCCGCAGGGTGACCAGCTCGCGTCCAACACAGAATGAGTAAACAATTCGTGTATTACGACCAAGGGTCGTTTTAACGACGTTAGCCATACGGACAAGGAACGATCTCGCGATCCTATCGCGACGCAGCAGTATTGTTGTGGTTTTGATGAACCCGGCTGCTTCTTCTGTAGGATATTGCCGTTAAATCTCTGCAAAAAGAAAATAATACTTGTGCGCACAGAGATGCAATAATTTCTTCAGATATTTATTACTGATAAGAGTGTCCAAAAAAGATGTTTCCGATACGTACAACGCAAGTTACCGCCTTCCTATGACCAACGAAATCTTTATCCTGCGTCCAACCATCCCTTTCTATTATTTGCGCCGTAGGACCTCCTCCGTTCATAGCATGGGCAGATACTAAATACTGTCCATCTGGACTCCAGGAGAGCCTCAGAACATGAGTTGTCCCACCACATTCGTCGAAAGGTTCAGATATTAATGCTGCTTCTGTCCAATCTGTAGTACGCCATACTCTCAAGGTTTTATCATCAGACTGAGATGCCAAATACTTTCCCACTGGATCCCAGGTAATTCCCTTTACAAAACCTGTATGGCCTTTCAGCACAGCGACTACAGCAGGGAATTTGGATGCGTCCCATACAATCACACTGTTATCCACCGAAGCTGAAGCCAACCATGGACTGTGCGGTGCCCAAGCCAGATCTAGCACATCAGCTTCATGAGAACGCAATGTTGCAATGCATCTCCAAGTCTCCACACTGGCTTTTCCACCAAAAATAGAACTTCCACCAGATCCACCAGACAATCTCCAAATCATAATTAATTTATCTACACCACCAGACGCCAATAATCCACTGTTGCTCCATCTCACACAGTTCACACACGCTATGTAAAATTAGTAAACGTGTTTAATGATAAAGATGTTACTATATGAATCTGTTTCTATCGTATATAAAAAAATAAACTTTTACCAAGATGATTATCTAACTGACAAAGCATTTTTGGAACATTAGTATCTAATTCAACAGTCTCATCAACCACAGGTTCCATGTTCCATATAACAACTCTCCCAGAATCACCACCTAATAACAAGAGGAAACTATAATAATAAAAGTACAAACCGAATGTTATTCACATATTATTCATAAAACGATACATATATATACATATATATATATATATATATACATAATCATGAAAAAAAAAATTAGATGCAACATTATACAAAAGTTAATATACCTTGACCACCAGTGGCAAATCTCTTCCCATCAGGATGTATATCAATAGAAAATATTGGGTACCCTAGTGAAAACATTAATATAATAGATGTTTTCGTAGACTTATAACATAAGAAATGTACAAAAATACAAACCATCGTGAGTAACCCAATTCGGCTTTACTAGCTTCATCTTTTTCGTCGCCTACAGCTATGTACTTGTTACAATTTAACACGCAAGTTTTAAATTCGATTGCATCTTTGATACATGTCTATATTGAATATGAGCCGGCATGACTTAAAAATTCACACGATACACAACCTATAACTTTGATTTCTCACTACTTCTTCTGCTTCTATTTTACGTATTCATTACCTTCGAGCTCACAATATCACACTTACTCGGTCTCCTTCTATAAATTTTTTAATACAAATTTCGCTAGAATTTCCTACAATAGCCGACGGTATTTTACATTGATGAGTTTAAACAAACCTTATTTAACATACACAGAACACATCGCGCTGGCAGTGTGGGCTAGAATGCGGATGACGTCACCTCGATTATTATGATATCGATTACTTTAACATGCAAAATCGATTATCGTACGATATTTTTTCAATTTGATTATTCCCTAAACGATAGTTCTTCGATTTCTTGTTCGATATTATTAAAATTATCACTAAATATTTCGACAGCTACTTTTACGCCCGTTTCTACTAAAGCTGTGTTTAATTTATAACCGGCTGGTTATTTCATCGGAATTGACCAATCGCAATACTGATTAACGATAGATGCGGTTGGATAATTCCGTTGAAATACTCAGCCGATTAAGTTAACAAGGTTGGTACAAACGGCCATTTTTACCAAGTTAAACTGCAGTTAAACAGAGAGAAGTCTGAAGGCTCGTGTACATTAGCTGTAAGAGTAAAGCTAAGACTCCATGCATGCGGTGAGCTGCGGCAAATGCTGCGGTGACCAATCAGGAGGGAGGCGCAAGTCCGGTTGCGGCAAGCTCCGGCTTGCGTCTGTCTCCTGATTGGTCACCGCAGCCGTTTGCCGGAGCTCACCGCATGCATGGAGTCTTAGCTTTACAGCTATTGTAGGCGAGCCTTGAGAACGTCCATCCTGGGCCATGTTCCAAAATTCACTGCCAGCGCTGAAAAGTTATAGTTTGCGTGACACAAACTATATATATTTTCAGTACTGGCAGTGAATTTTGGAAAACGGCCCTAGCGTTTTGGCCGATACCGATTTTGAGGGCTGTTTGATGCGCCATCTGCGTCCATTGTTGACCAAGAACTATGTTCATTTTCAAGTGCTGTCAGTAAAATCTCTGGTTAATGCATGTCCTTGCTACGCCTATTTTCGTTCATGTCTGTGCTGCATTCAAAATTGCGTGGTCGAGAAACACGGCACTGCACGGAGACTTTACTGACAACGCTTGAAAATGGGTATAGTGAACGTAATTCCAGCTCAGAAATGGACGCTGGTGATGTATCAAACAATCCTGGAAATCGGTGTCGGCCAAAACACCGAGTTGACTGGCTCTCAGGCTTCTTTTTCAGGCGGTTTCAGTGAAAATCCTGCAAGGTTACTAAGAGGTTAGTTAACTGCAATTTGGTAAAAGTGATCTTAACAAATAGAATTTGAATTGGTGAAAATGGTTTGAGTCTCAGTTGAAATCAGATTTTAGCAGAGATTCGAATCACAATTTATTTATAAAAGTCTACCAAAATTTCTTGTAGAGCAAGGGAGATTTTCCCATTTTTCTCCGGCGTGAGCTAGACGCTCTTATAGTATATAATTTATATCTTTTCAGTTAAACTTATAAGTAAACATCTACAATTTATATAATAATAATTATAAACTTATAATTCATAACAGAATGCAGATTTTTAAATCCATTTTTTAAGAACAAATAAAGAGAATCTGAAAGAAAGATTATTAGACGCTTCATTTTCTTGAACTAGTTTCTTAAATTCTCACTACGAGCCGCCACTATCTAACCACGAATTTGAAATCGTACAATTCAATACAAATTAAATGCACTTTATATATCGTACTTAGAATATTATATTTACAAATGATAAGACTCAACGAAAAATTAGAAGAACTTGTATCCTATTCTATTTATTATTGAGCTATTTCTCCTGTTTATTGATGGAAGTGCCGTTCGGTATAAAAATGCCACAAGACACTTTCAGAAAACATTGTTTCCTCGAAGCGAAATCCTTGCCTTCAGATCTGCAAATGTGTTACATAATATATATTTTGAGCTACAAATTTTTCTTCAAACATCTAGTTATCTTTATCTTAATAAATATAAGAGCGCATTGGATTTTATTTATTTTATTGCCGTGAGAAAAAATCATTTAATTTTTAGTCGTAGTATAGTGTGACTCAACAATGAGCCGAAAGACTTTTTTATTTTAAAATAGTGCATCCATCATATCTATTCTGATCTCTATACATTTATAACTAATATCTATTTTCGTATTATCATAATTTAAAAGATAAATAGAAATTAATATAATTAATAAGTAAATAATACTTAATAATAATATATAAATAAATAATACACAAAAAATAAATAATAATTAATAAAAGTGACTAATACATTTGTTAAAAAATAATGGAATAAGTTTCGAAAGTCTGTAGAGAAATTTGTGACAACTATAATATAAATATTATACGCTTTATTATATAATGGTGCTAATAATATTTGAAACTTCATTTTAAAATTGGCATGTGCACGCATAAAAGTCAAAAGCAAAATTTCATTTTAACTTGTGTAAACGTTACTTACATGTAGTTTTTCACGCAGTATACTTCCAAGATTTTCTTAAAATATCTTAATATTTTAGCATAGATTTTGATTTTAACTCCTGTAGCACGCTAAGAAATACATTTTATATCCGAAAATTTATATTTGACAACTTGTACAGACTTATCGAACCGTCCCGACATGCATCCCGAATCATTAATATTTTTATCATTTTCCTCATATTATTATTATGCAGAAATTACATTGAACTAAATTGTGGTTTATGTTGCATGATCAACAAAATCGATCCTTTAATTATTTTATGAATGTAATTTTTATTGGAAAGGTCGCTTGTAATGTAGGTTTTCTATGTATAGTCAAATAATATAGCGAAATATTTCTGAAACATTTTGAACCGATCAAAACTTTTTAACGAAATGAAATTATAAAATATCAACATTTTTTTATAACACTGAACAACATATTGCTGAGATACGACACTTGATGTTATTGTGTCCGTCAATTCGATAAACGTTTTTCTATGAGCGAAAAATATTGCAGTTATATATTATAAACTTTCTATTATATAATAGCACACGACTATAATACACATGTGTGTCTAATATATAACACATACGCTATGTCGACACGTCTTAATCGTTCTCTCAAATTTTCAACATATTTTTTATATTTGTAATATATTTGATCATGTGAGGCAATGTAATACGCAACAATAAACTCACGGTTGTCATATTATTATTTATTTATAAAACTAATCTCATAACTCTTTAAATAGAAAAAGATAAAGATCTTAAAGAGGATCTTAAAGAGTTTCAAGCTTCATTTTGCATTTCTGCGCATATTTGTATCTTCATTATTTACCAAGTTATGATCATTTGAAATTTTGTAATTTTTTCCCAGATTTTTAGTAAACCAAGTTTTTTGCGTTTGAATATATTTAGCTGATTTATTTCTTGTTTTAAATAATGACTAAGATATTATTCCACTGGTTAATCGGTTATAAAAGTATTTCGCCAACGTAACGAGAAAAGTTACTAGAGAAACCGGCATGTTCTTTTAACATATCATAAATTTCGTCAGCGACAGGAACCGAAAGCCGTCCAATTTAATAACGCATAAGGCGCATACTTGTCCTACCTGCACGGATATAAGTTTACCCGTATCCACGTGTGTTTATGGATAGAAAAAGAAAGCAAAGAAAAGCATCGACTTTTATGATAGACTGTACAGTCGCGTCGTTCATAGTATCGCAACTGTAATGGAAATTTCCACTGGAGAACCTTCTTTCTTCGTCGTCTCTTAGATAGGTGTACGAACCGATGGAGGAAAGTCTCGGATAGAGGAGGATACCTGCTGCTTCATCATTCGATATATCGTCGTCCATTCGCCTTGAGATATTAAACTGTCTACAGATCTCGACGAGACTCTCCGAAAGACGAGCCATTAAACATATTGTTTAAAGACGCAAGAATAAAATAAGGTGAAGTATAATGAGAAATTGATACAAGAACAAAAGACAGACGTATAATCGCGTAATATAGACTGATCGCTCGCATAATTTCGTAATATAGACTGATTCGATAGAACGAAGCACTTGGGTGGACTTATAACGTACAACCCAGACAGTACTAATTCTTGAAGAGAATCTTAAAGACGATTAAAAAGTATCTAGTTAGATATCCTCCGGACATCTTTCAGACATTTTCTAAAACCTTTCCCGTCTGGGAATAAATTCTAATGAAGTCAAATCCAATGAATCAATATATTTATAAACTCAGTTGAAATATACGCGATTAATGAGAAACGAAAGAAGTCTATCGAGATTACGCGTTAAGTACTTGTCATGCTTGATTTCTTTGAATACAAGAGCAAACGCTTGATTTTTCTAAACACAAAAGAAACTCGTATTTACCTTCATCATGTCGAACGATGTTGACGATATTGACTCTTGACAATACTGATTTGCTATAATTTACTAACCAAGCAACAAATATTTCCCTGATATTAATTGGAGTAAATTTCATATATCAACAGTGTGAGTAACTTCATGCATCTTATCATATATTCACTTCACAATTAATAATTCATGTAGTTAAATTAAATTATTCATATATTTAATTATTCATGATGCAATAGGATGACACACAATTTTAAAGAAAACTCTACTAGATACGCAGCTCGCGTAGATATGAGTTACGTAACGGCCGCGTTCAGGAGAAAAAGCAGCTTCCTAAGCGCTTAGTGATGATTATCTACGATTGGAATAAGGGACATGCTATAATAATTTAGCGGTGATATATAACGTCAGCTAGACAAAATAGGTCAATTTGTAAAATGGTATTGCACGTAAGTCGCTACGACACTTGCTCATTCGTTCAAAAGCCTGCAGAAAGCATTTTCTTGCGCGGCCCGAGTGAGTAAGACAAGGACAGCGCGATCGATGTTCGTCTTGATAAACTGACTTGACCCAACCTTCTTCTGCTCTTGCGCTCGCGCGCACGGTGTTGGTTCGCGATCTCGCCGCTAGAGGCCTCCAAAGTCAACGCTGGATTTGTCTCTGGCTCCTGCACTCTGCAGATTCTGCAGGGCAAGAGCACAGGTTTTTACATAACACATAATACATAACGCATAAAAGAATAAACCAATTAGTTTTCTTCATTTCCCTCCTCAGGACAGAAATGAAGAACTCTGATTGATTGATCCTCTTATGCGTTGTGTATTATGCGTTATGCAGAAGTCTGTGCTCTGGTCCTTAAATGTTGCCGTGTAAACGTAGTTTATGTCATTCCATGTATGAAAGCCCGTACGCAGCGAGGTTGATTCGACTTCGGCTTTCCGCGGCCGCGTCTCGTTTGCGTTAACCAATCAAAGCCGCCCGACAGAGTCACCACGGGTTACTTTTGTTCTCGATGGTGGCAGCGGTCGAGATGAACATGATTATACTTTATAGTTAGGAAGTTGATGACACTTGATGACAAATATGAGTGCTTTATTTATATATTTATTTATATATTTTATTTATTTATTTATTTATATATATGTATATATATATTTATTTATTTATTTACCATATAAGCAAATATGTCCAAATGTCCTTTTTTATTGCGAGTTCGACTGATTGGCCCAACCCGCCATCTTCGTCTTTAACAAAAGTCGACGTGAGTTCGATGCTGTCGTATTTAACACATCAGAAACAAATGTACCAGAGACGAAGTTTGATCCACCGTTATATTATCTTTTATATTGTAATCTCTATTGTTATTATGCTGCATAGCACTTTCCAACGTAGACACTAGACTCGTGACGTGATTTGCGAATTGCGAATGCGTTTGGCGTACCCCGCGCGTCCTGCGTCCTGCGAGCTACGTAGACAGGACTTTACAAAGCGAAGCGGCTGTTAAACGCAACGCTGCGCGTATTATCACGTGTTCTAACGCGAATTTACGTGTACGTATTATCAGTGAGGCGTGCGAGGAGGAAAAACGGAGGCAACGAACCATAACGCTGAATGTTGCGGTCAGCCGAGAAACGGGAGGTCACTGTCGATTCGTGACGATGGAAAGTTACAACGACACTCACTGAACGCTTCTCGGTTTACCCATAGAATGCTAGAAGGGTAGATAAGGCTCGTTTTACATTCTTGCGCAGATCCAATAGCACCGTCGCTCTCTAATCTCATCGTCTTTTCGCCGCGTCGTCTCGAGGTACGAGAGGCGTGAAGGCGCTTGCAGCAAGTAATATTAAACCGAATCGTGTGTGTCGTATGAGGGAACACGCTCAAAGCGTCATTATAAGGAAAAATGTTAGAAGCTCATACAGGCGCATGTGTGTCGTTTTTAACATTACGACGTCGCTCTCTGAAAAATTACCAGCAAACACGCGCGCAGATGTTGCTTACAATCGCATATCTCGGCTGGGTCGCCTGAAACTCACTGCAGTAGCACGTCTCGCGTGAAATTCGCGAGAAAGTCACGCATGAATAATCGATCCTTCGAAGCTAATATGGTAATCAGATCAATGAGCCACGAAAATAATCGTTATCACTTGCATGAGCCTACACACACGATCACGTGTGTGTATGTCTGTGTGTGTGTGTGTGTGTACACATCTAAGCGAATTTTCGAAATGACAAATTGTACATCGCAAATCATCTTTCTCAAACGACGGAGTCCTTTTTTTCTCCTCGTTTAAATTCACGCGTATCTCTACGTTCATATTTTCATATGATCATACTTTTATATTATTATTCCTCGCATACACACACACACACACACACACGCAGATGTTTGTCTTCTCGTGATGACCAGAAACGCCGACGGCACTTTTGCCGTTTGCGTGTGTGGGATTTCCACTACTAATTCCTACTACCAACCGCAGACGCGACCGATTTCCGAAAGGGGAACATGTTGTACGTTACCCAACGCTCTCCGCAAACATCGCAGCTCGTCGAATAGTTTAGCCTGATGAAATGGAAAAACGCCGCTTGGAGGATGTTTTCTTCAAAGGCCTGCTGCTCTCTAATTAAGTAAGAAAGTGTCTTACTGCTTCTCAAGACTTCATTCTCTTCGGCGTCTCGCATAGCTTGGACGTTCTTAAATTAACCGGATGTTAAACGCGCGGTCAACAGGAGCGATACCGTTGACTCGCGATGAACGCGAATAGCGCTTCGTGTCAGGAATTCACGAGCGGTCGAAAAATTCGAACAGTCCCGACTTTCGAAACCGTTCCGAAACGGTCCGCTCGTCCGAGTCCTCCTTTATACTTGGCACTGTTGGAGCAAGCTTGAGTGGAAACAGTTCGGAAGCGTTTGCCAACGAGCATACAAACGCGTACACACACATATCTCGCATGTAGTGGATAAGATTTATGAATGATTCGGCTTATCTCTCCTACTTATTAACAAGAAAGCTTGCAATCTATGATGACGTGGTGTATCACATAGCGATGTGCAAGACTCATCGCAATGTCGGCTCTCTCTCTCTCTCTCTCTCTCTCTCTCTCTCTCTCTCTCTCTCTCTCTCGCGTTTATACGGAATCCATTCTTCGATTCAACGTGCCCTTTCGTTCTCTAGTCCTACGTGTATTTGTCGCGCGGTTTCTCATTATTCATTTCCAAAGTTATTCTTTGCGGCTTTTCACACGGTAGTTCGCCGTCAGAGAGGGAGAGGGGGAGGAAATTTCTCATTCTCAGCCCGACGATACGCATCTCTTTGACCGTAAATACGCCGAGTTACTTTTTCAAAGTCCCTTCGCGGACGCGCGGTGGCATTGTGGAGTTTTTCGTGCGGCGCGACTGAAAGAAAAATGCCTCCCCGATGCGCACCGCGGTCGCGATATCCCGCGTTTCTCGACTCTATTGATCGGGACAATACGAGTGTGTTATTCTAGATCAGGTTCATCGAGGGGAAAGCCCGCGCGCTGGCGCGAATCTTGACCATTTGAGAGTCGTTTTTGCTTCTTTTAATCACCAACGTCCGAAATCCGACGGTGCCGCACGTCCACGTCTTTTATGCAAAAACATTCTTTTTTCGCTCATTTGTTATTTGCTGATTGTCGACATAATCTCGAGAAGTTGAAAAATAATCGACCGCTGGTTATAACGTCCGAACGAAGATATGGTTATATGTGTTCAAAAAGCCGCTGTTCGGAATTATTCGAGATTTGTCGGAAAAATTGAACGACGCAAGTAGCAAAGATTTCTAAAACATATCCTGAGGACATTTACTATCGGAATATTTATCCTAAGCAGTACAGTTGATACTGGGTCGATAGGAAGTATAAATGTTATAATTTACAAATAATTTACAACGAGATGACGCAAAAATGTGCCTTGGTCGTTTTAACAGCGCAGACTGCATTTTATCTTCCATACTGGTAACTTTATCATCTCTCTTGACTGTGCCGGTTTAATTGTTAGTAGTTAGTCGGTTGTCCATTAGCTTGATAACAGAAATTGGAAAATTTCAGCCTATAGTGACGTTCTTACCGTATCAGTGACATTTGGAGAAACACCGGAGGGCAAACGGAAAGTTTTCCCCTTCGTTCATACGGCGCAGAAGCGCCGGCGAGTGAGTTTCGTGTTACCTGCGATATCACGCGCGCAGCAAAGTTTGAATCATAAACGCGATATCAGTTTACCGTCGCGAAAAATGCTTAAGTTTTGTTCTTTCTTTCTTTCCTTATGATCGTGTCACCGTGGACCTGCGATTGCAAGCCTCCTCGGTGTGAGTGAAACGATGTTTGCGATCGATTGAGCACATTCGTGAGATAATCCGGATAATCCTTTTCTTCCTCTGGCGATTAATAAACGGTCTAAAAAGCAACGTGAGAAAATCACGAGGAAACGAAAGGATCGAAAAGCACGATTGCACATCATGTTAATTTCACGCTTGTTTATTGATTGCTACAGCAAAACGAAAGTTCTCGGAATATTTGACAAGTGTGCTCAGTCAATCAATCACGAGTGAGACGCACGTATTTTTTTTTTATTTCGACGCGTCTATTTCGAATTTTTGGCGCGTGATTTTCTCGCTTCTGACCTTATCAATTAACAATTCCACGGCGCGCAGCCAGGAACCTTGAACAAATAGAACTCGGAAGAGATAAGGAGTGTTGGAAGCAAAATCTCTCCTTCTTTCTCCCCGCGATGTCTTTTTACGCGTGAAGGAAGCAAAATAAATTGTTATTCCGGTAATATCTTACTTATAACGGAAATGAAAGAGCAAAGGAACTGTAAACTGGTAGATATACAAGATGATTGATATATATAATTACATATTCTATATATATATATATATATATATATATATATATATAATAAATATAGGTACAAGTATTGTCTGCATCTCATATTATTAATCGGACCATAAGCCTTGAACGCCAATCAGTATAATGGAGTCAGAACGAAACTCGCGAGACGAATAAGTCATTAGTACGGATAACACTGACGTTATCAGCATACTTAAATATAAGCGATATCAATGCTAAATAACAAGCGTGATGCAGTGATGCGTCTACTAGTAGTACGAACTATAAAACAATTTTTTTTTATTCTGATTTATTCGGGACATATAAGTTACATTTGATTTGTTGTTGTTGTTGTTATGCTAACTCCGCTATGATAACTCCGTGCTGATTTCGCGTATTAACGCCAGTCTAGCCCGAGACGCTATTTCAGTCATAAATATCCAAATAACATTTCGAAAAAGAACATTTCGAAAAAACCCAGATCCAACGTGGCATTATTGAAATGACGTCGGTTGATGTCGCGCCATGACTTATATAAGAACGGAGATATCCTTGATATGCTTAGTCAATAAGAAATTATAAACTACGTACCATATCGGAGTGTCAGTCCGCGTGGAACACGACAAGGCAGATATAGCGCGTACCTCGCGGTAATTGGTTTTTACCTGCCTTCAGACTAGGCATACGTCCGCTAGACGATTAGACGACTAGACAGTCACAAGAACCTGGCTGAACCATGGAGACCTGTATGGCTGCCACCTGCGCAGCTGCGACGAGCGGACCCACCGCGTCGATCTTCCTGCAGTTGATGCAAACGCTTTTGGCGGCGCAGTGCAGCCTCGGCAGCGACAAGGATTATCCGGCCGACCGCTCGGACGAGGTCGCAGGATCCGACATCGAATTCGACTTTGTGATCGTAGGTGCCGGAAGTGCCGGGGCCGTGGTGGGCCGTCGTTTAGCCGAGATCGACGACTGGAAGGTGCTGCTGATCGAGGCCGGTAACAATCCTTCGGCCGTCAGTGACGTCCCCGCGATATTTTTGCACATACAAGGAACGCCGGAGGATTATGCGTATGTCGTCGAGCCCGAGAAGTTCGCTTGCCACGGCACGACCACCGGCTTGTGCACTTGGTCCAAGGGCAAAGCCCTCGGCGGCAGCTCCACGACAAACGCCATGCTTTACGTTCGGGGCAACGAGCAGGACTACAACGAATGGTACCGGATGGGCAACGAGGGCTGGAGCTATGAAGACGTGCTGCCGTACTTCAGGAAATCTCAAAACTGCCAGGATCCACATCGCGACTGCACCGAGCAAGGGCCGCTCAGTGTTAGATATTTCAACTACACCAGAAACCCAGGATATGATATATTGAAGGAGGCCTTACGCGAGTTCAACGTACCTGTTCTAGATGCCATAAACGCCGGCAAGTTCATCGGGTTCGGTGACACTCAAAGCACTGCGAACAATGGCCGCAGGATGAACACGGCGAGGGCTTTCTTGTCGCCGATCAAAGACAAGAGAAATCTCTACGTGATGAAGTCCACGCGAGCCGACGCCGTTCTCCTGGATGGGACTCGAGCGGTCGGAGTACGCATGACCTTGAAAGACGGCAGATCGATCGACGTTAAAGCGTCGAGGGAGGTGATCCTCTCGGCCGGTAGTATCGCCAGTCCCCAACTGCTGATGCTCTCCGGTATCGGACCCAAGCAACATTTACGCGAGATGGGGATAAGCAGTGTCGTCGATCTACCGGTCGGTAAGAATCTTCAGGATCACATCACGTACTTCGGCATACACGTGGCGTACGAAAATCCGAACGTTCAGCCACAGTCGCCTATGTTCTTGTTAGACGAGGCTTATCAGTATCTGATGTACAATCGAGGTTTATTCGCATCTGTCGAGTATGACATGCAGGGCTTCGTCAATGTGACCGATCCGAACGCCAAGTATCCCGACATCCAGTTCCATCACGCTTTCGCATCGTATAGGTCGGACGTACTTTTGAAGGACTTTTTGCTGAGATTATACATCCATGAGGATATAGTGAACGCTATAACAGATATCTTGAAGGACAAAAGCTTGATATGTCCCGTGCCAAGCCTGTTGAAGCCGAAGAGCCGGGGCGAATTACGGCTACGTAGCCAAAATCCGGCAGATCCCGTCAGGATCTACGCCAATTACTATACCGAGAAGGAAGACATGGAAACGATATTGAGATCCGTGCGCTTTATTGAGAAGCTGCTGAAGACGAAGGTATTCAAGCGGTACGGCGCGAAGCTGCATCACCTGGACATCCCAGGTTGCCGACACACCGAACCCAACTCCGAGGATTACTGGAGGTGCAGCATACGGCACATGTCAATGACGCTTTTTCACTACGTTGGCACGGCCAAAATGGGTCCTAAGGACGACCCTACGGCCGTCGTGGATTCTCGGCTAAGAGTCCACGGAGTGCAGGGGTTGAGGGTCATCGATGCGTCTATCATGCCAACAGTCACCAGCGGAAACACGAACGTACCTACCATAATGATAGGTGAAAAAGGCTCCGATATGATCAAGGAGGATTGGAGCGTCGCGAACGTTAAAGACGAGTTGTAGGAGGGGAAAAGACTGCTTCTGGGTTGCGTCTGCTTTGTCGTGTAACTCCAGAATGTAGAAAAGTTTGAACATTTATATTAGCCTTTAAGTCGAATAATTCGAACCACGGGGGTCAGGATTAAGATTTGAGGTATTCCGCGATTCCAAAAAATCCGGAAGAATACTTGTGGGTGGGGGTTGTGGGGACTTTGTTACTTGGTAATTATTTACATTTGACATTACTGTTGACGTGCCATCGCATCATGTGTAGCATATGTCTCATACTGCGTAATCTATATTTCACGCATCGCATTCCGTTTTGTGCGGTGAGAAGACAACGATGATGCTATTATTTCATCCACTCTAGCTTGCGCTCTATGATATATATATATATACCTGCATAAACATGCATGAAAACTACATAATAAACAATTATAGTTTACCTTTGACTAACTCTCGTGGCTATTTTATCTACACGAATTCACCTTCGCTCTGATCGATCGAGAAAATTAGCCGGGAAATCAGTGACATCGTCCAACAAAATATAGCCCCAACATTCAACACAGGTGTATGGTAAGGTATACGGTATATTCCGAACGTATGTTACTATAAAAAGTTATTAAAAGACGCTCGCGCGGAGGGTGCGGAGTGGGGGTGGGGCTGGGGGGCGGAGGGTGGAAGGGAGAGGGGAGCGACGTCGTCGTTGCCCCGAGAGGGGTAGGGGAATCCCACGAAGCGGCTCGGCTCGAGAAGGTTGCCGAGCGGCGCGTTCCTGCCCCGCGGTGGGGAGGCATCGAAAGGGACGAAGAGGGTACGCGCTCTCTTCGGGAGAGTGGGAGAACCGGAGGAACCGTGTGTGTGCTGCGAGACGGCCTACAGCGCGTCGCGCACCGTCATTCTCGTCTGCGAGTCTCTACGGTGCTCGCGAGCTCACGCGCGCCGAGTTTCCTCAGGGTACAACACCTCGCTAACGAACTCCCGCGCAGAGGCCGTTGGAGAGGAGTCCGTCGCACCTGGTCGTCCTGGTCTTGATCCTGGAGAGCACCTGCCGCTGATATTCCCACCAACACCCGTCAACACTCCTCCGCCCTCCTCCCCCCCCCCCCCGCCCCGCCCCGTTAACCCGCGCGTATTGCGTCGTTGGGTTTTCCTATTAAAGAGGGAACATCAATCTCCCGGGCGCCCTTCGGAAGGATTCTGGTTTCCCCGGCGACCTCCACCATCGATCCCTCGGCACTCCCTCGCCGATTATCTCTCCTCCCTTCCCCTCCTCCGTTACCTGCCCGCCGACCAACTGCCCCCACCCTCTTGGTCAACTGTCCCCACCTTGGGGAGAGACTTCCACACGCAGTGTATACCTTGCGACGCACACGGAGGGAAGTTATTGCGAAAAAGAGGACGGAAGATCAGTGTGACACCGCGCTCGTCGGAGAGACGAGCCCTTACATGCGTTACGAGTTCGCGCGCACAAGCTCCGCACATTAGGCGTCGCGCATAGTGCGCACATACACATACATATACACATACAAACACACAGACCCACAGAGAAAGACACATATACACACGCACGCACGCACGCCGAGTACGTAAACGCGCCGGTGTTAAATCGTCCTGCGCCACACACGTGTGCCATCAGACACACGTTGTCACACGTGCGCACGTGAACACGTAATCGAGCGCGCTTAAGGATCGTATCGGCCGCTGCCGCGCCGCATCGGGAGCGCCGCGGCTTGACAGTGAAACTTGGAAGCGTGCCTCTCTCCGCCTCTTCGCCCTCGCCCTCGACGAAGCACAGGAGGAATCGTATATACATATAAGTATATACAGCTATATAGCATACATATTTATATACGTCTATTTGCATCCTTCGAATTAGAGGTCTCCGTAGACGAACGACCGCGACGACGACCACCGAGTCTCCTCACCGAGATGTCGCATAACACAAAGGTTCTCACAGCGGCGGTGCACGGGGGCAAAAATCAGGTGAGTAACCCTCTATTTATAGAGCAGTGCTCGAAATAGCCACGCGCGCGCGCGCGCGCGCTCGTCGTCGCATCTGCAACCCGATCGAGACGCGGCGCGCTCTCTGTTTCTCTCTCTCTCTCTCTCTCTCTCTCTCTCTCTCTCTCGTTCGTGAAAACAAAAGAGAAGAACAACACAGCGGGGGTTTTCAAAAAAGAGCGTGCCGACAAATATCTTGGGAAACCACCGATCGATCAGGCTGCCACTCACTTTCGAGAGTCGCCCGAGCGGACCGCCGAGTCTAGTCATTTGCGGTGGTCGCGTAAAGCAATTGTCTCTCTCGTGACGCGCCGACGAATTAATCGCACGTACTTACGGAGACGTGACGCGAAAAGGTTCATGTCGCCAGAGAGAGAGAGAGAGAGAGAGAGAGAGAGAGAGAGACTAGAACGTGTCCCGAGGTTAGCTTTTTTTCCTCAAAGAGAAGAGGAAAATTCCGCTCAAGCTGCGTCCAAGGCTGCGAGCGTTACGTCCGACTTCGGCTTCGGTATTTATGAGGGAGCAAAGCGAAGTCGCATAAAAGAGAACCGTTTCTCTCCGGCGTTCGTTTCTATCCCGGATAAAGAGAGTGCTTTGCTCGGGACCGCGCGGGAGGGGGACTTTTGAAATTTTAATTTTCGTCGCTGCGTCGCGCGACGTTGAATTTTCAGCCTTCGACCTTCGGGTCGTTCGACGGACGCTTGCGGTGCGCCATGCAATGTTTAGCGCCACGGAACGTGCATTTCAATTGCTAATTCTACGAGATATGATAAGGCACGTTCAAGTACTCGAACGACGCACGAGAGCCGTATGTGCGTTTCTCGGACGTGCATGCATACGATCGCCACGTGGCCGTCTGCGGTCGCGCGTAACTGAACCATCGCCGACGCGGCGTCGCGAACTCAACGAGAGGCCTAATGTTACGCATTAATAGCCGTCTGCTGCACAATGGCTGCGTAATACAGCGGATGTGTGTCGCGTAGAACCGATCGAAGCTCGCCCGGGCGAGCTCGCCGGAGGAGAATTCAACGCGCGAAATGCACTCGGCTGAATTTTCGCACACACACACACACACACACACACACACGCGCATGTGACGCGCCTTCGTCGTCTCCGTCCGAGCGATCGCGTGCGCGTATGGAAACGACATAATTACGCGAGCAAATGGAAGGAGGGCTTGTCGCGCGATTACCGCGCGTTATTCCGCAGCCGAGCGTGTAAGAGTCGTCGAAATGAACATTCGATTATTGCGTTGCGCGATGCTCGACGAGATTCCTTCGGCGAATCGATCGCTCGGCGACTCGATTAAGCCGATCGACGTAAGACGACGTATAATGCCGCTTCTGATTGTGCGCGTCATTTTTATGTGGAGTTTTATAGAGGATGACGAAACTTCGTTTCCGGTTAATCGGTTAATCCTCCTCAGCGCAGACTCGTCTGTTTTCTTCTTTCTTTCCTTTTCCATTCGCGTCAGACGCGCGCAACACTGGCAGAATGGATGTAGACGTACATTTTTTGTTTTTTTTTTTTTTTTTTTTTTTCTATAGCCGCCCTTATCGTTATAAATTATGTTACGCAAGAGATCGTTTGCCGCGACGCAACGAGATATATCAGTCGAGCCAACGATGACGAGTGACGCGGTGATACGGAAGCGTTTTTGCACGAAACGCACGTGACGAGCGTGATACGCTCTCCGACAATTAGCGATAACCGCCGCTTTCTTTCCTTTTCCGTTTTCATGTGTAGCGAATGGATAATAACACGTACTTGAGTCATCGCACTGTGACGGGTTATTCAATAAAAAATTCCCCCTTCTGGAATATTTATCGCATCGCGCACGGTTAGGTGTTCCCAGAATTAAATAACACGCGCGCGACACGCGATGCGTCACCGATTATCACAAATTACCTCTGAGTTAATGAACTTCTGATCTGCGAATTTGATCCAGATATTTTTGCGAGATACGCGCGCACTCACCGTTTTATTAATACGTTTCATCCGTTTCAAAGCTCGAAGCTCGAACGCGCTCCGTTATCGTTCGAGCTGATAAAGGCGCTGGATATTGCGTGATCTCTTTGAAAAAGGATAAACCCACGCTTACCTGTGTTCGTAAGAAACCACGTGATAACAGTGGTTCATAGAAACCATCACAGTCCGGTTAGATCTAAGCGACTTTGTGCACGAGAACTCGCGGCTTCCCTCTCTCTCTCTCTCTCTCTCTCTCTCTCTCTCTCTCTCTCTCTCTCTCTCTCTCTCTCTCTCTCTCTCTCTCTCTCTCTCTCTCTCCTCCCCTCCCTCTCTTCCTCTCTTCCTCTGATCGGATATAATTCTTTTTTAGCACGCATAGGATTTTTTATAGCTCAGCGCTTTTGGCGGACGCGAAAGTCGGCCGCGGCGTAAAAGCGTATTTTTGGCCGGCAACCTTCGCGCTAACCGCGTTGTATCGCTTAAAATACAATATTTACCTTTCCGCGATTAGCTTTGGAACTTAACTTTAAAATAAATAGCTATGCGCTGTTTACTTCGCTATCTCGCTGACGCGACGAAACACGCGGTGGCGAAAGTGCTCGAGATTCGAAGTAACGACATAGTCGATACCGCTGCAAATCGCTCGACGGTGATTTCAATCGATCGACCGATCGATCGATCGATCGTGACACGCGCGAGATCGTCGGCGCGCGATCCTGCTTCTCTTTCGTTTTCCCGCTGCGCAAATTCACGACGCACGAACAACGCGTCGCTCCTTTATCGGAGCCTCCAGTTTCTACTTGGTGACCCCGATCGATCGGCGGCGACGAGGATAGTTTTCCTCGAGGCCCGAGTGGCCGTGCGTTGACTTTGCATCGGCGATCGATGCCACGCGGTGAACAAACCGCGGCCAGAGGCAGCCCGACATCGTCGCGCAACGTGGGTTAAATTTAACCCGCGCGCGGACACTCGTACGTACTGCTATTTCTCGCTCTGTGCGCCGCGGATCTGCCTGGAGATCGTGTAGTGTTCCAGCGGAATTGTCGCGTCATTTATCGCGCGTAGACAGACAGGTAAATTTGCATACCGAGTCGGCGCGCGGCACAGACAGAAAGAGATCGCGTAATTAGTTCCCGGAGTGATTTTTATTCACGCGCGCGCGTCCCACGACCTGCTTCGCGACAATCGGAACGGTTCGCGGCGCGGCCAGACGGCCGGGCCTTGAGAATTCGCTTCGGGGAACTCGTGTATCCGCCGCACTAGGAGATTTCTCCGGCGTAACAGAATTTTGTAGAAACCGGTATTTCTCTCTCCCCCCCCTCTCTCTCTCTCTCTCTCTCTCTCTCTCTCTCTCTCTCTCTCTCTTTCTCTCTGTGTACGGACGCGAAAGGGTTACTTCTCCATTGGACCTCTCCTTCTCCGACTCTCCGTTCAGAGAGAGAGAGAGAGAGAGAGGGGGGGGAGAGGCCCGTTTTCCCTCGGGCATCGAAAATTACCGCGGGTCCCCTTTGTTTCATAACCAAGACGTAATTTCTCAAGTCGAACGACCCGACCCTTGGACCCAAATAGTGGTCTAGGTCTACGCTCGGTCAGTCGTAACGTCAGCCGCAAGGCGTCTAACGCGCGGCACGATGCGGGTGCACTACGTCATGGAAATTTCCTCAACGGGTTCGCTCTCTCCGTCTCTTTCGCTCTCTCTCTCTCTCTCTCTCTCTCTCTCTCTCTCTCTCTCTCTCTCTCTCTCTCTCTCTCTCTCTCTCTCTCTCTCTCTCTCTCTCTCTCTCTGTCTCCACTTACAACTCCGTCTCCCGCTCTTCACCCCTCCTCGCACTCTTTTTCTTTCCTTTCGCGTTTCCCCTTCTTCCTTCCGTTCTGCCCCTCTTCGGCCCCAACGTCCCCTCTTTCTAGTCCCCTTCCTCGTCCCGGCAGCTATTCCGAGGAGTCTGGTGCACTCGGTGTTCTTCAGCTACTCCGCGATAGCGATGACTTTGATGTACGCTTTAACGCAGCTCCTCCCCGCCGTCCACTTCCGTCAAAGTAATTGCACAAGGCGGCGCGGCACATGAACCGTGCGCGCCGCTCATTTCCGTCCACGCGAGGAAATACCGCGGCAGTTCTGGGCGTGTGCCGACCTTGCGGCCGAGACTCGTATTTTCTCGCCGCGAACACGAAGATCCTCTTCCGCGGCGGAGAGACTTAACGGAACACGCTGGTTAACTCGACACCACGTGCGCGCGCGCGCGCGCTTCCGCTTGGCGCTGGGCGTCAGCGATTTCTAAAACGCTGTTGTCATCCAGCGCGCGCATGGCCGCTTTTCAAATCGTTCTTCGGATCGTCAGCATTCAAAATGTCAGCGCGGGCATTCGTCTCGTGCGCACGCCCCCCGGAATATCCTTCCTTCCTTCTTCTCCTCCCCCTCTCCCTCTCTCTCTCTCTCTCTCTCTCTCTCTCTCTCTTTCATATCGGCCTCAAGCGCGACGCGAAACGCGCCTTTCGGATATTCTTCAATGTTAAAAACTCCATCGGGCGTGCGTTGACTCGCGATTGCGATACGTGTAAAAATGCACGACAACGATATCCCACACGAGTGACGATGGGACCTCGCTATCAACGCGGTTAGATTACCTTGAGCTGATATGACTCGTGCGGTTTGGCATTCTACTGCGACAAGACGGCGAATCTAGAGCGTGCGATCAATGTTTTCCTTTCCGCCGGAACGCACAGACGCACCGCTCAAGTGTCGCGTTTTATAAGCATTACTCACACACGCGAGACGTGCGTGAATCAGCCGCGCACGATTTATCAATAGGAGTTCATCCGTTTCGCGTTCGCACACGGCAATGAAATTCCGCATGTTTCGTCATTCATCGTGGACGCGGTAATCGCACGCGTTGACGCACGCTGATCCACGTGTTCGCCGATCGAAGCTGATGAGCGGCGAGAACACGAAGAGAAGCGCGTTCGATCACGCTGCGTTCTCTCTCTCTCTCTCTCTCTCTCTCTCTCTCTCTCTC